GAATGAATTTTAAAGTGATCGACTTTTTAAAAGATAAGATAAAGGTAAACTTCATTTTATTAAGACTAAAAAGCTACTGTTAGCGGAGGGAAGATTGGTAAAGCTTCACGAGACTAAGAAAGTGACAAACTTTGGTTGGGAGGGACAAATCGTCGTAAGGAAAAACATCGTGAGCAGTACATTCATAAAATAGTTAACATTCGTAACGAAAACAGGCAGTACACAGCTGTAGCTTTGTATCACTTAGAAATCGACCCCTCTACTCTATAGGACAAAACTGGTGCCTTATAACACTGAAACATATGCTGATATATTATGCTATTATGCGCATACCAGGCATTATACACAGTATAATCACAGCAAGGGTAATATCAGACATAACAATGTTACAGTGTTGAGCTATTTGTATCAGCAGTGACTCAGCACAGTTGTGGAACGTGTACCTTGTACAGCTCCTATTGAATTGTTGACTTAAAATGAACCTTGGGACGATTTGTCCCTCCCTCCTAAAGTTTATCACCCTTCTAAAGAAGGGATGCAATGTGTTCCTGGGTATGAAACTAAAAATACTTTGACAGTGCAGCAAACGTGAGGAGGAAAATCTTTAACATGTTTAAGAAAGATGTTTGTGAAAGATGTTTGAGGAAGATGTTTGAGGGAGATGCGATCTGACAAACTGGTGAGCTAAAACAGCACGATCTCATCATCACACGAATAGTGAGCACGACGGAGTAATATGAAGCATGTTGGTATAAATATTTATCCTATTCAAATCCACCCGGCAGCTTAAAACAAGGATATAAGTGTAATAGCGGAAGATTGGATGTCTACTGTTACATCCAACATGATTAATTCGATGTATGAGATGAAGACATAGTAAATAGGAATAAAATCACTACAGTACGGACAATATTGGAGATGGTTATTGTTGCTAACACAGTACTGAGTACAGGGAACTTATTGCAAGTGGTATAACAGGTGTGGTGTAACAATACAGGTACTATGATTAATATATAACAGTTACTATAATACAGTACAACACGTGTTGTGTGAGACATTATATTAAACGAGTAACAAATATCTGCACTTTGAAAATGAGGGATCAACATTCCCTCCACTTCTCTCCTCTAAATTAGATTGAGGGGTCTGGAACAGATCACTGCAAGAGCTGGGGACAGAGCTAAACGGATGAAATGGATGTAATTTGTGTTCATGCCCTGAATTAACTGGCATTGATAATATGTTAACGGATAGTGTGCTAACATGAACAGTGGGGTGCACATCGGTACGTTACGCCACTGAGTTCACACGAGAATACTAGTCACATTTTATGACTGACATATAAGTTATTTCAATAAATAATGTTATATAATACGTAAAAGTTATGTTAATACGAAAAGTGTTGAGAGGACTATTCTCGCAGTAACAAACCATGCAAATAGAAAAGTAGATCACAATAAAACCCACAAAATTTAGTAGAAGAACAGGGGTGGGGGGGGGGGCAAAAATAGGTATGTTTCGCCACTGTTTAGAAGAACTAGAAGAACCAAAGTCACGTATTTCTAAATAAAAAGTACAGAAGACGTACAGACCAACACCAGGTACTGTAAATAATGTAACAATTGTATTCACATGTGATTTGTAGTACTACTGCTAGTGTGAAAGCTAAGTAAGATAATGGAAAGAACATCTTGCCAATCAGCCGTATCAGTCTATAGTGAAAATCTAAGGAGAATAATAAAAGGGCGAACCATTCAGGGAAATTTTTAACCATCATCGTATGTGTAGGATTTAATTTGCAGGCCATTGAATTTCTACTGGTTACTACTGGTTACTCATGGTTACTCATGGTTACTACTGTTAAGTGGTAACTTATGGTTACTGACATGATGGTACAATGTACATTGATATAAATCATGTCGTGGTTTGGAACTTGATCAACTTAATTTCTGACATCTGTGGTAGATAAAATGTAGTCTTTACATGATGTATAGCCACCTCTGACTCTCCTTTTCATTATCACTTTGTCAAAAATGTTAAAAACCATGTCAAAAATGTTAAAAACCATGTCAAAATGATTGTAGAGACATTGCACGATTATAACTTTCTGTTTCGATTTCCAATTTATTTTGCTGCATACCAAGTGGAGAGCAAGGAGCTTTTTAATTCTTTTAATAATTTTTTTTTATTTTGGAAAAATTGGAAAAAATCCAGCTAAAATTTCCGGAATTCACTTATGAAATTCATATGCAATTTTAAAGTTTCCTTCTCAGTTTAAAAGAAAACAGCGTTCAACCGGCAAAGTTGAAACGCTGTATAAACGACAAATGGTTAAAAAAGGCCACTCCAAACAGAACTGCATTGTTTGCAACATAAACACAATGGTAGAACATTATTCACATATTATCCAGAGTGCCATGATATTGTGCAAAAACAGTAAACAGGGGCCATACAGATAAACGATAGATTTAGTGCGCCTAAAAGCCTCTTTAACAAGTCATTACCTAAGTAACAATAGTTCAGAACACTCTTAAGTTCAACTCTGTCCACCTTGAGTACGCTACCTGGACTCTAGTTCGACTTTGTCCAACTTGAGTACGCTACCTGGACTCTAGTCCAACTTGAGTACGCTACCTGGACTCTAGTTCGACTCTGTCCAACTTGAGTACGCTACCTGGACTCTAGTTCGACTCTGTCCAACTTGAGTACGCTACCTGGACTAGGGTACGCTACTTCTTATGAAAACAAGGACTAAAACAGTAAACAGGGCCTAAACAGTAAACAGGGCCTAAACGGTAGATTTAGTGAGTCTCATTATAAGCGAGTCAACAAGTCATTACCTGGGTTACAATAGTAGAAAAACAGCTGAACATGTGGAGGGGACATTGAGATATATTGTTAATATTATGTAGCTTGAATGTAAATAGAGAGAGACAGTGTAAAAGTGCAGCAGTTCTCAGTGTAGTGTACGATATAGAGGTACCTACTACCTATCAAGCTATCAGATCATCTTACTCCGATACAGTGTAGTGTAGTGTACGATATAGAGGTACCTATCAGATCCTCTTACTATGTGTACGATATAGAGGTACCTACTACCTATCAAGCTATCAGATCCTCTTACTCCGATACAGTGTAGTGTAGTGTACGATATATAGGTACCTATCAGATCCTCTTACTCAGTGTAGTGTACGATATAGAGGTACCTATCAGATCCTCTTACTCCGATATCCCTTTCCCATCCCTACTAAGAAAAGGTAGGGGAACCTTAAGTGCCCATCGGTACGCTAACGAATTGCCGGGAAATGCAAAGAGTGCAGAACGGAATATTCCAAGAACAGCAAATGGACAAAACACCGAGCATCCTATACACAGTACTACAAGTACAGTTATAGTAGCAAGGGAAATGCAATGAACTAGGAAGTTAGAAACGCTTGAAATGTTATGTATCTAGTCGCAACTCACAGTGCAGAAGATGCGGGGTCTTGAAATCGGAGACTTAATGTTTAGAGGAAACATAAACTCTTGTGTTTGAACTGAGCCTTCAGTCGTTCTAAGCTCCCATAATTAATAAATACTAAATAGCTTGATTTAAAAACGTGAAAGACACAAATGTTAGGATCATTTGTTACGGCTTTACGGTTACAACCAAATAAATATGTAAATAAATGTAAGGTTAACGTATGTCTGCTGTACAATTGCGAAGGAAACACTTAACACACCTTGTGAACCACGTGATACCCATATAAGGAGATATAGAACCACGTGAGAGCACATTTTACTAGGTTCTACTAACTATTTTATGTTGTTTAACAAGAGCTTCCTCCTTGTCGCTCCGGTTAATATTTGCCTAACGTAACTTTCATAACACCCATTTGTAATCAACAATACACAATAGACTAATCTAAAATATAAAAAATGTACAATACACGCTACAGCACGAACAAGTTCGTTTACAAGTGACAAAACCCGTACGTGGTCACTGATCACAGGTCACATAGTACATACGGGACTCACTGGTCACATATCCCACACACTCAAGGTACATATTCAGCCCCTGAGGTTCATGTGTCCCTGTATGTCACATATATTACATATTATGCCAGTTACTCATTCTAGTTACAGTTGACTATAATGCGGCCGGTTTTTGCTCCGTTTATACTTTTGCAATCCAACTGCGATAGTGAAGTCCCGGCCGAAGGCACGGGTTACACTAGTATTACATATTAAGATATTATGCCAGTCACCCATTTTAGTTACACATCACTTAACACGGGAAAGTATACTTATACAGATGGCACACTTATTATCAATGAAGGAGAAGCCCATGAGCAGAAGACTTTGAATTCTAAGCAAGTACATAATAATCTATAGTTACATAATAATCTAGTTACATAATAATCTAGTTACATAATAATCTATTATTAATGAGTTGTTCTAGATAATTGTTTTATCATTATAATAAACGGATTGTTCAATTGTTATCGATCTAGTTAAATAATCTAGTTATTGAATAATTGAATTGAGAAGTCCCTCCTGGGTACGACCCCTAATAACTTAATAATTATAGATTAAAGGGGACGCAAACACTGTGAGTCTCGGTCTGTGCAATCCTCTAAATAACTACAGACAGAAGCGGGACTGTCTCTATAAGTTTATATACATTTACAGGTAATCTTGAATGTATGTATATTTAGAGAGGCGTGGTACCTACCGAAAGCAATGTGATCGATTACACTAAAGCTTTACTACCCGGAAAGACCCAAGTCTATAGGTGCACATCAGGTTATGTTATCCGGATCCAAGGCATCTGTTGATAGATGAGTCAACAACAACAACAACAACAACATTTCCAGTCACATTTTCAAATTACATAACATATTCTAATTGTATAACTTAAGAGGGTACAGACGTATAACACAAACAAAACACAATAAAATCCTATAAATATTATATTACAAGAAGTCCTGAAGAGGGTGGAAAAGATAACAACTACTCACCGTTCCATGTAATGTTGATGTTGTAGTCTCCGTCTTTAGGCACTGGGTACACTACCTGCAAGTAAAGGGTTATTATAACATTACTTATATATATAGTAAAATTATAATACTACTTATAGTAAAATTATAATATTACTTAATATAGTAAAATTATAATATTACTTATAGTAAAATTATAATATTACTTATAGTAAAATTATAATATTACTTATAGTAAAATTATAATATTACTTATAGTAAAATCATAATATTACTTATAGTAAAATTATAATATTACTTATAGTAAAATTATAATATTACTTAATATAGTAAAATTATAATATTACTTATAGTAAAATTATAATATTACTTATAGTAAAATTATAATATTACTTATAGTAAAATTATAATATTACTTATAGTAAAATCATAATATTACTTATAGTAAAATTATAATACTACTTATAGTAAAATTATAATATTACTTAATATAGTAAAATTATAATATTACTTATAGTAAAATTATAATATTACTTATAGTAAAATTATAATATTACTTATAGTAAAATTATAATATTACTTATAGTAAAATCATAATATTACTTATAGTAAAATTATAATATTACTTATAGTAAAATTATAATATTACTTAATATAGTAAAATTATAATATTACTTATAGTAAAATTATAATATTACTTAATATAGTAAAATTATAATATTACTTATAGTAAAATTATAATATTACTTATAGTAAAATTATAATATTACTTAATATAGTAAAATTATAATATTACTTATAGTAAAATTATAATATTACTTATAGTAAAATTATAATATTACTTATAGTAAAATTATAATATTACTTATAGTAAAATCATAATATTACTTATAGTAAAATTATAATATTACTTATAGTAAAATTATAATATTACTTAATATAGTAAAATTATAATATTACTTATAGTAAAATTATAATATTACTTATAGTAAAATTATAATATTACTTATAGTAAAATTATAATATTACTTATAGTAAAATTATAATATTACTTAATATAGTAAAATTATAATATTACTTATAGTAAAATTATAATATTACTTATAGTAAAATTATAATATTACTTATAGTAAAATTATAATATTACTTATAGTAAAATTATAATATTACTTATAGTAAAATCATAATATTACTTATAGTAAAATTATAATATTACTTAATATAGTAAAATTATAATATTACTTATAGTAAAATTATAATATTACTTATAGTAAAATTATAATATTACTTATAGTAAAATTATAATATTACTTATAGTAAAATCATAATATTACTTATAGTAAAATTATAATATTACTTATAGTAAAATTATAATATTATTTATAGTAAAATTATAATATTATTTATAGTAAAATTATCATTGTTAAGCTTAAATAAAATTTATAGCTTCTAGAGTTAAACAAAATTATCGTATTTATTGGAATATTAGCTAAGAAGATTAAACAAAGCTTCTTTGTTCTGTTCACAAACATCTCTAAATAATCACAATTAATATTATTATATGTATTAATTAATATTATTATATGTACGGGTATATGGCCCCCAGAATATAGGTCGTTTTTTGAGCACTTAGAAACAGGTGTTAAAACTACTTCTAAGCATGTTTAGGGCTGTAAATATGTACATAATAACCCTTTAAATGTTTCTTGGGTAGTTGAAAATAATTATTAGGTTTTTAAGTGTACTTTTTTTTTCACCTGTAAAAATACCATTTTTTAACAGGGCCCCCAGAATATAGGTCCAAACATCTGTTCCTAAGTTGTTCTAAAATTGTCACAGACAGTTATATGCAGTCAGAATATGTTGCTGAGACTGTATTGATGATGCCAATGGCTCCAGATACTAAATTGAAATGGTTTAGAGTATACTTAATAGCAAAAAATCAAAAACTACGGCCCCCAGAATATAGGTATGCAAAAATCGTCCTCAAATACTCCACCTTCTTACATTTTGATGATGCCATCTCTTCAGCATATGTTCTTTAACTGTTTCTCGTCACTACCCCACATTCCTTAATGCTCAGGGTGACAGAGAAAATGCAGAATCTTGGTCGCTATTTTTTTTTAAAACCTATATTCTGGGGGCCATATACCCGTAATGAGTAAAATCTTTAATTTTACTTGTTAAAAAGCTTTCATGCACTCATTTAGTAGGGATCTTAACTAAATACTTAAATAAGATTGAAGGAGTGTCCCTAGATATGATTGAGGGGGGCTGTTTTTATCTGTATCAATACAATGTGTACCTCAATGACTGTAAATCAGACATTTTTGGCCGCCAAATTTTTTAAAGGCCTAACTCAAAATTCTGTCCCAAAACTTAAGGTCATGAGACAATTCTACGTTGATTCTGAAAATTTCATGTGAAAATATTGAAACCCTATTGAGTTCTATTGTTTTGAGCGAAGTCAGTTTGAGATATGGGCGATTTTGTTCATTTTTTGCGATTATTTGAACACAGAATCCACAGTTAGGTAGATATTGAGCTGATAATCATAGAGAATGTGTAATATATATGCTTACCTTCCATATAAAGTTGGTTTCATTCAAAAATATTGATATTTGACCAATTTATGGACCAAAATCGATCAAATTTGGTGCGTATGCCCAAATATGGGCATATGGTTTTTGTTTTTATCCCATAACTCGGCCAATTTTTATCCAATTTTGATAAAACTTGATATGTGGGTTCAGTAGACTAGTAGCTACAAGTAGAGCATCCCAAAGCATGGTTTTGGGCATGTTCAGGGTTTTTGACCAACCTATATTCTGGGGGTCGTATAGACCTATATTCTGGGGGCCCGTAAAATTGTGGTGGCCATAACTTTTTTCCAAATTGTCAGTTTGCAGATGTCTCGATGAAAAGATAGCTTAAAATAATACTTATACTCATACCAGTAGTCTTAATGGCATGTGTTGGACAGATTTTTGTCATGACAATTTTTCGCCATATTTACCCCTCTAGAAAATGACAACATCGTTTAAATCTTTCGCTGTCATGACCAAATATACCAAAATACCTCATGTAGGTCCAAAATTTTTATCCAGAAACATAAGTTACATGTTTTACTCCAACCTAGCAGTAACAGATCCCATTAATATCGCTTATCTTGGTTAGAACTGTATCCACTAACATGACCTATATTTTGGGGGCCACCTATATTCTGGGGGCCATATACCCGTATCATCAAGTTTTTAAAAAGCTCAAAATGCCCCCTCCCCTTCCTTCCGGAGAGTTACCAACCTTGTAATGACTGTCTGTTATCTTGGTAACCTCAGCCTCAGGACTGCACTTCTCAGGTCCCTCCACCTTAACCTGTAGGTCTCCGTCCCCAGCTTTGGTCGTGTCCACGTAGAACTCGTTATCAGTTCCCGGTATTCCTGCAGGGGAGTACTGCCGTTACAGACTCCGAGCCGAAACTATTGGTAATATTATGTTGGAACTATTTGTAATATTATGTTGAAACTATTTGTAATATGTTCATAAATTATAAAGGTGTTTAGAGATGATTGATTGAGAGATATTTTCTCTGTAGGAGAGGGAAAGGTGCAGAGTTCGTTGATTTAAATGCGAGGCATGATTTGCCAAAACTGATGTGAGACAGGCCGGCCAAAGGGCTTTCATGCAGTGGTTATTTTTACAGGAAAATTATTCTCATGTATAGTAGTAGAAATTCGATTTACCGGACATCGACTTATCATGTAATCTAATATACCGAGAAAAAAATTTGTTCCAGAATTAATGAAAAAATAAAATCTTCCCTTATCTGCTATGACTTCATATGTCCGGTAAGTCGAAAATTTACTGCGTTTCATTCAAAAACCATTTTTGCACGCTAAAATCAAATACCATTGTCAAAAACCGTGCTCAATCTTTTTAGGATTCAGCCAGAAATGTTCAAATGTTCAGAGCGATTTGTCTGACAAGCAGTTAGGGACGGAATACAAATGATAAAAGCGATTATAAATTATAATAAATTTAGTCAATAAATCTAATTTAATCTTTTCAAACATTTTATCATAACAAACAAATTCTCCAAATTTCCCACATGCAAATCTTCCACACAACTCCCGGAAAATTACATCGACACATACGCTTTATCATTTCATTTCTTCAATTCAAAAAAAAGGAAAAAAGTTATTTCAATCTCAAATTCATAAAAACTGATAGCATTTACAAAATACTAAGACCAATATTTTGATAAAAATCTATTTAAAATGTTTATAACAATCTGATGAATTCAGATGCACGCGCTCGTCAACCATCCAGCTCTTCTTCACTCCAACACAACTTCCACCAACTCTAAACGAAATAAATAAGTCCCAGTTTCTCGGGCTGAAATGTCTAAAAACCGTTATACTTCTGATCCAGGCATGTACCCGCCTCCTATTCCTCAACTACCGGCTCTACAACCTCCTCCATAATCGGTTCAGCATTGCCGATATCCTTGAGATGGTAGTGGATAAACACACCCCCAACAGTAGCAACCACACCCTGAGCGATGGACTTAGGCTCCAGATGCTCTACAAGCACCCACAGCTCCACTCCGAGGAGAGCACCGAGGGTTGGCACCATTAGACCCAGATCACAAACCCCGGAGCACATGGACACGGTAACACCAAGGTAGGTTACCAGGATGGGGCACACTACCAGGTTGAAGGAGAGGTTCAGCCAGTCAGACAGCTTCTCCACCACCAGGAGGTCTTGGTCAGCAGCAGCGTAGGTGATGAGGTAGGCAAGGAAGACAGTGGAGAGAGCAGTTTCTGATATGTTGGGAAGATTCTCCTCTCCGGCGCAAGATAGCAGGACAAGGATAGCCACAAGGACAGCAGCACTGACAACGTGACTGACGGGCTTGGACTTGGGTGTGGTGTCGGGTTCTTTTGGTTCTTCTGGTTTGTCATCTTCTTCTTTTACATCGTCTTTGGGGTCAGCATCTGGAATACCAGCTTCATGTTCAGATTCAGAGGTTTCGGGCACTTCTGGTTCAGGTTCAACAGGAGCATCAGCGGGGGCATCAGCGGGAGCATCAGATGGAGCATCAGCAGGAACCTCATCGGGAACCTCAGCAGGAATCTCAGCTTCTTTAGTGACATCCTCTGCAACAGCGCCAGGAGCTTCAGACTCAACCTCTGGAGCAAGTTCGAGCTCGACAACAGGAGCTTCCTCCTCCACATCCTGAACCTCCTCCATCACCACCTCCACGTCGGGAGTATCTTCCTCCTCCACTGCTGCTTCCACCACTTCCACACTCTCAATACTTAACTCGGGAGTGTCGATCAGGCTGAACGCCTCCAGGCTGACATCTGCTTTTGTATCTTGCTGTGCCATCTGATCGAGGGATGATTCCACTTCAGTCATGGCTACTAGGATATCTGGAAATGGGTGGGGTTATTGTCATGGTAACCACACTTCGTGAGTATCAAGTAAGGGGTATTGGTTTAGCTCAAACGAAGAACCTATCTTTATGTTTTATGAGGGTTTGGTTAAAATGCAGTGCAGGTATAAGCTCTTAATTAGCGCCTAATTAGCAATTAATTAGCACTTAATTAACGGTTATTAAATGCTGCGACGCATTCATGAAGTGCAGTATTGCATGATCCATGGATAAGCGCTGTAAACATGCGAAGTGGGAACTCTGCATGAATTTCTCATTATTAAATAACTAGGAAGCTAACCAAAGAATTCCTCCCATATAACATTCGTGATGAATAAATGTAAAGGACTAGCATAAACAACGTTTATGATAAATAACGTCAATTAAGAATGCTGAAAATACGGTTTTATGAGCAAGAGCTGGCAATAAAGAGAAGCTGCAGTGTGTACCGTGAAACTTAGCCACATCAAATTTACCAGGAGTAATTATACATTTGAGATGTTTAAATTATAGTGAGATAGTGTATCACGTATCTACAGCACACAAGATCTGAGCTAGTGTGTGAAGTGTAATGTGGTACACATATAGCTGTTAAATGTAATGATACATAACATATTCACTTATTTCTGGGAGAGAGACGTACGTGATAAGCTAGATATCAGGAAAAGTGAGGAGTGTAAATTGTAATGAGTTTAAGATATATGACAAGACAAGTTATTAAATATGCCACGTATTCCATTATTCAATATTATTACAATATAATATCAAGTATAACAGAGCAAGAGCGGATTGTAGTAGAGGATAATATTACAAACAACACTACAAATCAAACAAGTGAGAAATGTAGATTGTAAGTATTCCACGTACAGCTGCATAACGAGCTCAACTCCGGCACTGCAACTACCGGTCCATCATAGCGTACAAGTAACAAGGAACTAGTACACGAAGGAAAAGAAAACACCACCACCACCAACACCACACTCTAAAGAAAAGTAAAGAACCTATTTAAACAGATTTAAAAAGCAAACGTTATGCTACGTAGCACAATACACTAGCGTAAGGTGCTACTATAACAGCACAGCACTGAGTGTAACTTTACAATACTACAGTCCCAGCTACAGTCCCAGCTGGGCCCGTCTGCTCTACAAACGGCTAATAACACGTACGAGTAACACACGCCCCCCTTAATACTAGCAACGCTAATAAGCTAATCAAGTGATAAAGAGTGATAAAAAGTGTTATCAGTCAAACCGGCAAAGAGCGATATACGAAGGCAACATTTAAAACTGCGTGTACGAATAGCATAATTTAGCATAATATGTAATATATATATAATAACATGTAACATATATATTATATATATGTGTGTGTGTGTTATGGTAAGTAACTTAATATGTATTTCCTCAGAAATTTCAAGAAGATTAAGTCACTTTAACTCGCAGTCACATCACGACACGAAACCATGATAAAAGTTGCGATAATGACAATCGCGAGAGTGATAAAGCTAAATGCATTATATCAAAGTACGCTACTTTAACAAATGTATAAGAATTAGAAAGGTCACTTTCTTTTAATATAACGTAATTCTCGCCTCCCAAATTTAACCACTTAAAGATTCTACAGGAGACTTTAATACTGCCCGTAACATAGGGTACCATTATAACACACATCTTTAACACGCAACCTACAAAGTATACCAACTTGCTAAGTATACTAAAGCACTCAAGGGATGAGCTCCTTCGAGCAGCTGTAGTTAAAGCATGTCAATTATTGACGCTGTACAGCCTAACACCTACGACAACCAGGGTACATTTCAAAGATTCCTTTTGAGTACAAGTAGGGGATACATTTCGCCCTTCACAGGTTAATAAGATCAATACATATCAGCAGGAAGAATGCAGCGTCACGAGAGAGAGAATTAAAGGTCATGACAAATTGTGTTAGCGTTATGAGCATGCCAGAAATACACACGGAACTACATACCTCCTTCCAGTCCTTTACCGTAGGCTACAACATCGTCCGCACTACTCGCTTTCTCTATTTGCGGCCTGAAATAATATGTACTGAGAAATGAGAAAGTCTAGAACTGAGAAAATTTCTGGGGCAAAATATGTAGTGTTGTAGTGTTCGCGTTTATTGCGACAAGGAAAAGACTCTTTTCAGAATAAGAGATTATTCTACGTTTCAATATAACAACATCATATTCATGGTATTCACGATCTACCAGTACCACAGGGGCAGTGGCGTAACGAAGGGCCCTGCTGACCCCGCTGTGCAGGGGTCAGCAGGGACAATTTCGAAAACTTAACTAAAGTACTAGCAAAACTGCGCGTTTTGCTCTAGATACACACTTTTTTAGAGATTTTTACCGGCGTATCTTCTAAAATCACCTAATTTGTTCAATTTTAGGGAGGGGCACCAAAAGGGGAGGGGGCGCCAACAGGGGGGCGCCTTTTCGGCAGGGGGGCGCCAACAGGCAACGTTACGCCACTGCACAGGGGTGCCCCCATCTGATGTAACAATATCTAGTGTTTGAGTCGTGTATAAATAAGAGGCAGTAAAACTAGCGGGCTGCTACTATGATAAGTATGATAGTATGATGTAGGTAATGGCTTAAGATAGGCCCCTTCTGAAGCTGTACTTCTGTACCTGTACTACTGAGGTTCCTTTAACTGAAAGTGCCACTCTAGCAGCTCACCCTTATCTGCAGCCTAATTTTACTTGCGCCATTCTATTTAGTATGTAAATGTGACGTACTTATTACGGACACACCCTCATTTTGGGTATAACATATCAGGTACTGTGGGACAGCTTGATAATTTACTTGACGTTCTGGGGCCCTTTATTTGGTGTCTAAAATAACACGCACTGGGGCCCTTTATTTGGAGTCTAAAATAACACGAACTGCGGTGGCTTTATTCCGATAGTTCAGTAAGTGTCTGATAGCAAAAAGACTAAATTATGTGTAATTAAGTAGTCCATCTTCAACCAGTAACTGCCTAATAGGCTCCGGCTTTAAATTCTTTAAAAGAAAATATTTAAATTATTTCTCCGGCTCAATAAAATCCTCTCTTTGTTTGGTACAGTCGTTGGTACGGTCGGGGATATAGTCTAGTTTAAAATATAGTCATTAGTTCTAAAGTCGTGTATACTGTATAACTGTTGGGAAGTTAGTGGTAAACAAGTGCTTGGCATGTTGCCAAGCCAAATATCTTAACATAATTATTTAACTATGTTACGTAGAGCAACACTAGTGCTTCATTCAACATAACTGTTAGCTTGAGTACTCAGTAAATGGTTAGCGGGAATCACAGTTATTTCGGCGTTAAAATCTAAAACAAAAACAATGGCGATAATAGCAAGAGATGAAAAGGTTTTTTATTATTGATCCAGTTTTAAGTGGGAACACTTGTTTTAAGTAGTTATTGATTGAACTTTTGCTTTTATCTTTCTTTCCTTTTATTGGAAAAGTTAGACGGTTATTCAAAATATGGTAATTAGAAACGTGTATCAAAAATCATCGATCAGATCATCTTCTTATGAAAGCCTGTATTCTTTTCTGTTTGTCTTTCTCTTTCATTATTGATCGTCACAACATACCTCCTCGTCAAAACATCCATCTTAAACTGCAGTCACAACAGTTCACGGGTTAAACTATATTCTCTTGTTACGTGTATGAGACTTGAAAGTGAAAGTGATAATTGGGGTACCACGTGACTATGAGATCTAGTTGATCTCTGATCACGTGGTACAGGACTAAGCAGATTATGTATTAGAAATTAGAAATTATAAATTATAAATTAGAAATTAGAAATTAGAAATTAGAAATTAGAAATTTAGAAATTAGAAATTAGAAATTAGAAATTAGAAATTAGAAATTAGAAATTAGAAATTAGAAATTGAAATTAGAAATTAGAAATTAGAAATTAGAAATTAGAAATTAGAAATTAGAAATTAGAAATTAGAAATTAGAAATTAGAAATTAGAAATTAGAAATTTAGAAATTAGAAATTAGAAATTACAGATTAGTATGTATCTCTAGTTTCAGATTTCTATAGACAAGAACTCGGCTTCAATCCTAGAATACTGGATGAAACCTTGATATAACGACGAGTAACGAGTAACGAGTAACGAGTAAGATTAGATAGTACTTTTTGAACACGTATTGAGATTTGGTATCTTTAAACTTAGATTTCTAGTAGACTCCACCTTGAATTCCCAGCTTGACGTTAAATCATATTGATTCGTGGTTACAACGCAGTTGAGGGTTCCAAGCGAGGTTTTATCACGATGTTCGACAACTATCAAACTAATATCCACCATCTGTTGACCCCCCCCCCCCCCCCCCCCCCCTCTCTCTCTCTCTCTCTCTCTCAAAGTTATGTCTGGCTCATCTGGAATACCACAGGGTGTTATAATGATATGACAGGTGCAGTTAAGTAATATTGATCACTGCGGATCTAACCTAATATATCAGCATACTTGTACATACTTAATCATATTAGTTCAGGACGGTACAGACGGAATCAATTTAATGTATTCCGACTACTCCTTGTTTTAAATACCAGTAGCTTTACTCTAGAGTCATGAAGCTCTCCTAACCCTGCGTCAATGAAGGTTTGTGAAGAAATACCAATTGGAATACAACTCATTCTTCTTCTCATTGTTCACATTACCTAGTGCTACCGATCGGAATACATCACACAGACGTATTTATTATCAAATTTAAATGGTAAACAAAGCCATAGACTTACCGCTAATAGTTAGCTAAGCAACTGTTCCTTCTCAGAAATAAGGTAATAACTCTGACTTGTTTTCATCAAACACAATCGGGTTTCCTTCGATCACATGAACGTTTCTAGACTTGTATTGATTTTACCACACAGCCTTCTTTAGTACTTTCAGAATTGTCGGTATTCATTTAACCAAACAGTTATTTCCAGAGCTTAGTAATTTCATTCCGAGTTTATTTTACCTTTTACCGTCAAACTTTTGACAAAAGTAAAACTCTAGTTTCAGCTAATTCGAACTGTTCTCAGGTTATGGCAGCATAAAACGCTAAAGACTCGCACAATCGCAACGTGATGTACACATTCTGATCTTCAATTCTGTCATAATATTCTAGTACGAGATGAATTCCATGGAAATGCTACTACTACTATATCGGAACTAAGTCCAATATACGCCATATAACCCACTCCATATTTCCCTGTCCCGCATCAGGGTTCGCAGTTCCTCTTTAGATTTTGTCCCAACTTCCTTCAGTAACATAGACAAGTAGCTGTTTCTTGGTCGACCTTGCTGTGCTCTACCGTGTGTAGGTTCCCATAAGACTAAATCACTGGCAAGTAGCTCAGGATGTCGGAAGTAGCTCAGGCTGTCACGGAAATAATATTCGGTGTTAGCATACTGATAGCGGTGTTGGGAACTATATCCAATAGTTTGTCGCTATCATTTTTCATCGGTATACTCTTATCCCCCTCCAGAACAGGCCACGAAAGGAACAATTATGGTCGTCCAACTACAAAACTTTTTGCTGCACTAAACTTACTTGATCTTATGGTCTGCGTGTCTTCTACATTTGTGGTGCTAAATTATGCAATCTTCAAAGAGCACGGATTATTAATGGAAGTGTTAGCTATAGTTTTAAGAATTTCATTGTTTGGGACTGATTTTCTGACAAGTTTACTAGCAGTTTTGAGGGCAATCAATTTGGTGTTCCATCTTTATGTTATAAACTGGAAGAAAGTCGTAGTATCGATTGTGGTTTATCTTGTGATCATAATAGTTTCACAATTAGCTTACTTGCTACTCCTAATAAAATATACTGCTATCCTTTACACCCCTTTTTGTCAAATGATTTTCTTTAATTTCGAGGTCTTTATACTTGTCAGTTTGTTTTTAGTGATAGTTCTAGCTAACGCTATCAGTTTGGAGAGCATCTATTTCTCAGATTTGCAGACGACCAGATGGAAAAGAAAAGCCACAATAACAGTCGCAATAATATCAGCTTTCTACTGCATCTGTAATGTAGGATATGTGGTAATATTGTGTGTTACCACGTACTTTATGTTCAAATCACTGAGGCCCCCTGTTCCTCAAGAAGTAATGATAATATTTTACTTCTTATTTTTATCCCTGAACTCCGCTTGCAATCCCGTAATCTATCTAACTAGGAGAGCTGACATGAGATCTTATGTGGAAGCTCAGTGGGAGAAACTGACAGGAGGGTTATGTGGAAAAGAAAGAGAAGAGGGTGAAGATGTTAGCAGTGTGGCGGAGAGGGCTGAAGTTGTCATGAAAAGTGAAGACTGTTGATGTTAGGAGACCAAGCCGAATGTTAGTCAAATTTTTATTATTTTAGTACTAATTTGGAAATTCTTTTCTCTTTATGATACTCCGACATCAGAGGTGTTTGATAAACTTGGAATTTGCTATTATAATGATAATTAGATATAACTTTGTTTTATTTCTGAAATTTTGTTTTATTTCTGAGAGAATGCATTTTTGAGGGAATTGTTAGAGACTGTTCTTCAAAGAATTGAACTACATTTTGTACAGGAAATGAGCAACCAATAATAACATTAAGGTACTCGCATTGGGCAGCTATAAACAATTGATCATAGAACCGTTTCTATATTATCTCTGACCAGTATGTATTTCACAACCTTCCACAATATTGCGTAATTCTTATAAAGCGAAATGCTCTAATACCGACATTCCTATTTCTGATGAACTTACCCGGAAAAGTATGGGTATTTATCTCAGTCCTTTTGTAAATTCTTCAACTGAGTAGTGAACTGTGATGAAATCACAGGGGAGTGAGAGGTGGACATTCCTAACCATTACTTCACAATAACAGTTAAGAATTCAATAGGAATGTTAGTTGAGAATGTCATATTTCTTCCACTGTATCACCGTACGTTAGAATATCTTCCTATTATAATTTCTTTAATGAACCTCCACGATCAATAGCCAAATATGTTTTTTAACTGATCGCTTTTTGCAAGTAACAAACGGTCTTGTTCTATTCTACAATTCTGAAATCTCTGTCTACTAAAATATAACTTAGAACCTGAACCCTAACTTAAGAAGTCTAGCACAGGAACTATAACTTAGAACGTGAAATATAACTTATAAAACTTTACAAGGTTCCCAGTATGTCGTCTAATAACATCACACTTGCTGACCTCCCTGGAGAAGAAGAGAAGGTATTCTGGACCGTGTTCCACGTGATGATCGCACTTCTATCCCTAACCGGGGACTCTATAATCTTAGTAGGGACCTCTAGATACAGAGCATTGAAGCTGCACCGTGTGGTAATTGTAGTCATCCAGCACCTTGCTGTTAGTGACCTCCTGCAAACAGTCTTCAGAGTACTCCCAACTATAGTGTCCCTCATTGGCCAGGGGTGGGTTATGGGGACGTTTCTGTGTCGAGTTAACATGACCAGCCTCTACATCAACACCCCTGCTACAGCCATGCTCACTGCTGTTCTCTCCACCTTCAAGCTGATGATTGTAAGTATCCTTTTAAAATGGATACTTGGTCAAGGAAAAAAGCTCACACCATTTGTGCGTGTTTCTGGCTCTTTAGTTTCTTAATGCCGACCCAACTGATGAATATGCTCTTTACAACTACGGAATCGCTTCACTTTGATTATATTCACTATTGTTGCGTCAGTTACCCATTTTTAACTAGCGCCCCAATTTGGTTTATTTGGTTTCAATTTATGTTCGTATTAATAGCGGTTCTTGTAACGGTTTTGATTCTAATCTCGACGTCTGTTCTCCTTCTCTACATAGCGAAACAAGCTGCGGCTAGACGTGGAGGGACTATCCGTTGGCAGGGTATCTTAACCGTTACCTTGACAACTGCAGTGTTCCTGGTGTCTTACATCCCAGATGTTATTGTCTCGATGATAGATATCCTGACCTCAGTTCATCTTAGCAGCTCTGTTAAACGTACCGCATCCTTCTTCGAGAACATCAACATCGTGGCTAACTTCTTCGTGTACTCGCTGACTGTGAGAAGTTTCAGAGAGTTCCTCTCTGCAAGAGCTCGACACTTGGCGCTGAAGGTGGGGTTATCTTCACCTGCACCACCGAGAGCTGTTAGGCACATGAGGGCACAGTACAGTGAGGGGGCACAAAGAAGTGAGGCAGCTGACCCATCTCTACTGACCGAGACTACTGCTTGAAGAAGAGTGCAGCATACAAATCAAGGCTATGAGGATTGAGGATAAATAAACTTGAGGAGAACAAAAAAACAGGCCGTCGAGCAATGATTCGTTAAGTATAATATCTGGTAATTAAAATTTCTGAAAAAAAAAACGATGCATTTTCTGTAAATAAGATGAAATCACGTGATTTGTAGTATTTTGAAGAATTGTCATTATAATTCAATTACTTTTTTATTTTACCTGATCACTAAAGTACCGCGTATTCTTTTGTATAACTAGAAACCGTTCACCTACAAGTATAACTATAACGTGGTAACAGATTTGGTCTCACGCAACGAAAATAAAACGTACATATGTATCATAACACAGTATTTAAAAATGCATATTATTTAAATACTTTTGAATACCCAACATAAATACAACATAAATTATATCATAGCTCTATTTAACTACGCACTATCAAGACAAAGTCTATAAAAATCTTATTCAAGTTTTACCCACTACTTGCGACCGTGCCAAGGTTGCAAATCTTCTGGCAGATGTTGCTGGTACGTCACCGAGTCCTCGTGGTCATCAAAATTGTTTCTAATCCAGCTATTATCAGGTGATAATGCTCGCGAATTGCGGTAACTCTCCGATCTGCTAACATCGTCTCTAAGAGAGACTGATCTCTCAGGAGTTGGTAATACCTTGACTACTCTACTTTTTGGTTCAGGAGGGACTGATCTGTGAAAGTAGGAGGTCGGAGTGGAGGTATCGCTGCTGCTGTAGGAGTAGGAAGAGGAGGAGGTTGAGCTGTACTTCTTCTTTCTTCTCCGGCTCTTTTTCTTTTTGGTAGGTTTTGGAGTGGGCTTGCTCGGTTCAGGCTCGGAAGGTTTAGCTCTGACCTGAACCCGATAAACAGGTGAGACTGGACTGACGGGTTTTGGAGCAGCAGAAACTTTGAATTTTGAGGGTGTCTTTTTCAGGATAGGTTTTGGTTGAACCTTTGTAGGTTTTGATGCTGGAGTAGGTTTAGTAACCTTTTTCACGACATACTCTTCATAGGACTCGCTGGAAGAGGATGAAGATTTATCATCTGTTATAAGGAGATTCCTCTTTTGGGCCCATTCTTGTGCCCAGGTGGAGGTTTTTCTCGGTTTTTCAGGCTCCTGCCTAGATATCTCGTTTTTCCTCCGTTTTCCAGGATCCTCTCTTGATTTGTCTAAGGATGATTTCGCTTGCACATGTTTCTTTTCTTTTACTTTGTACCCAGCACTGCTTCCAACAATGATTGGAGAGGTGGATCTAACTTCTGGATGCTTTTCTATTTTCTGGTCAGAAGATGGTCCGTATACTGTATTCCTAACATAGTTCCAGTTTGGAGACGGACTTCTGGTTTCGGTGGATACTTCCGATTTGCTAAAAATCTGGGATATTCTATCGTCAACAATCGAAGAACTTCTTTCGAGAGTCCTGGGTCTTTCTTCCTCTGGATAAGTTCCACCCCAACGGCCAACATTTCCACTAGACATTCTCGGTAGACTGGCCTGTTTTTTATATCCAGGTTTAACTTCCTGCCGAGCAGTGTCCAGTTGCATACCATTCTTCAGCTGCTTATCCATTAGTATAGCTCGTTCACTCGGAGTCAGGTGATGCCATTTTACAGTGCCCTCTGAATCCTCTCGTGTGCTCTTACTATTTCTGATATCTTCGTTGTGAACCTTCGGACGGTTCTTGATCGAGCGAAGATACTGCTGCCTTTCTTCTTCAGTTTCGAAGGAAGAGTCTCGGCGGGGAAGGTTTGGTTTACTTTCGCCGCGAATTTTGGGAGGAGGAGTCACACTGGATGACGATTCCTCGCTAGAACTGTAACTTGATTCAGATAGATCCTTTCCGCGCCATCGTCTCTCTGTGCCAGAATCTGAGCTTTTTCTCGGCTTGTAAATCCAAGCTACTTCTTTGTCTTCCGACTTAAGTTCTTCTTTTGGTTTCTCACTGGTCTTCCAGAAGTCTAATGAAGGAAGTTTGAACATTGAATCACCCTTCTCACTTTCCTTTTCTTTATCTTTATCATCAGAATCACTAATTTTATCTTTCTTCGTAGGAGAGGGAGGTGGTGTAGGTGGTGGAGTTTTTTCCTCTCTTTTGAACGTAGGCATATTAATGTCAAACTTGGGAAAATTGAATTCAAACTTTCCCTCCTCCACTGCCTCCTTTTCTTCCTTCTCTTCGACAACTTCTTTAGGAGCTTCCTCTTCTTTTTCTGAACTAGGTGCAGGTTTTTCTTCCCTCTTAAAGTTCGGTAAACTGATATCAAACTTGGGAAAATTAAGTTCAAACTTTCCTTCCTCTTCCGACTCCTTTTTAAGATCTTCTTTCACAGTTTCTTCAGTAGCTTCTTCAGTAACTTTTTCTTCCTTCTCGGGTCTAGTTGGTGCTGTTTCTTCGCTCTTGGATGTCGGTAAATTGATGTCAAACTTGGGAAAGTTGAGTTCCAGCTTCTTTTCTTCTTCTGTATCCTCTTCAAATGGTTCTGGTTCACGTTCAGGGGTAGGGGAGGAGATATTCCAGCGCCTATCTTTATATTCTGCATCTGATTTCTTTCTAGGTTTGTACGTCCAATCAATTTCCACCTCTGGCTCTGGTTCTTTTTCTCCTCCAAACGTAGGAAGACCGATGTCAAACGTTGGCCAGCTTGACTTCGCTTCATCTTCTCTGGGATTTGTTTTTTCTTTAGGTGGCGCAGTTTCCTTTTCTTCTTCATTTTCTACTTTCTCAACCTCCTTATTTCCCTCCCTCTTTTCTTCTGATTTTTCCTCCTTGTTTTTCTCCTCTTTTTTCAGAACTAACTCCGACTCTAGCTCCACCTTGCTATGGCAATTATACGCACAAGGCTTGATCAATTCAACCTGGACCTCAACTGAACGTGTTTGGACAGGTAACTGAACAACCGAAGTGTGAGCACTTACAGAGCTGATCGAACTTGACCTGCTCTTTTGGGACGTGACCTTAGCCAAAAGAGTAGTCAGACTAAATGAACTCCTCGAAGGAGTCGGAGATTTTTCACGTGTCGGTGACTTTTCAGGAGTAAGTGGTCTTTCAGGAGTGAGTTGTCTTTCAGGAGTAGGGGATCTCTCTGGAGTCAATGACCTCTTTGAAGGAGTTGACCTTTCAGGAGTTTCAGATTTACGAGATGGTAAATCAGGCTTAACAGGAGGCTTAACAGGAGGCTCTGCAATGGGATGGTGAGAGTTTACAGATAGAGACGGAGGAGGAGCCGAGGTAGATACGCTGTGCCGTTTGAAGAAAAACAGCTTATTCTGAAAGGTCTCCTCTGGATCTGAGGACGAACTTGTACTACTCTCCCTAGGAACATCTATCTGTTTCGGAGTAGGGTGAGTAGATTGGGTGTGATCTGCAACAGTACTTTCACGGAATATGACTGGAGCCAGTACGGAAGAGTTGTCCGATTTAAACCTCTCCGACCACTGTCTGTCCAGCTCCCTACGTCTAGCGATCCTATCTGCCAGTTCCTCATGGCGAGACTCTGATGACGAAGATTCACTCTCAGAAGGTTCAAGGCTGGGTTCAGGAGTTTGTTCAGGAGTTGGTTCGGGAGTTGGTTCCTTTGTTATCTTATAGTATGTGTCTGTTTCAGTTACCTCGGGCTGTTGCTCAACTATAACGAAAGAAGATTTCTTAGAGCTAGATGAGGATGTTGATATTTTCGAGAGAAAATCTTCAAGAGTTACCCTGAAAAAGATCGGATATGATGGCTAAAAACATACGTGAGGCGTTGAATATTGCACATATTAGTGACTAAGATCCTTTAAAAAAGCTTTTTAAAATGATAAAATGTAGCAGGATTATCATATAAAAAAGTGTTATGATAAATCAATGAAGGTAACTTACTTGGGCCGTCCTCCTTGACAGTAGTTATAGAACTTTCTGACGAGCTCGGCCCTCTCTCCGGAGTTTGTGCCTCAGGGCGGTGAGAATCATAGTACGTTCTGGTCACCTCTTCGTACTCATCATCAACAAAATCCAACTGACCCTGTACGTGACTATCGTATGTCATCAGGTTGTGACTATATTCAGTGGCCATCTTCGATTCTTCTTCCTCGTCTTCTTCTTCTTCCTCTTCTTCTGTATCAACTCGTTGTCGCCTGACTGGAAGTTCAGGACTGGGACTCCTGGCGAGGTAGTTGCTCCACTGCCGCTCGAAGGCAGCTCTTCTTAGAGCGTTTTCTCGAGCTATCAGAGTCTCTGTTGATGTATAAGATGACGAGGAAGAAGATTTCGGTGGTTCTTCCACCTTCTCTTCTACCTTCTCTTCCACTTTCTCTTTACCTTTCTCTTTCTCTTTCTCTTTGTCTTCCAGAGAGACTGGACTATCTTCTGGGATCTTCTCCAGATCATCTTCGGTCGTTTTGAGGAAGGTGTTTGGCCAGCGAGCGAGAGGCAAGGGTTCGGAAGCAGACTGTGCTTCTGTCATTTGGTAAGTAATTGGGTCTGATCTGTCGTCTGTCACGTCAATACTGGGCAGTTTGTAAATGTGTTTGTCAGTTTGTTTTTAATGTGTTTGTCAGTTTGTTTTTAATGTGTTTGTCAGTTTGTTTGTAAATTTGTTTGTCAGTTTATTTGTCATTACGACTGTCGGTTTTTTCATATTGCTTGTAATGCCAGTACAGTTTGGGTTCCTTAATTGATTACTAGCCGAAGCCCAAATGAACACTCGGAAGTTTTAAAATGGCGCCTATACGGTTAATAATCGACAAGATAGCCTTGTTAAACATTCACGGAATATTAGAAAAAAAGTAAAACTAACCACACTAATACACCTAGTAATATAAAACACTCCGTTACCTGAAGGCACTGCCGGGAACATGTTGATCAGCGTACTTTACAGCAATTATATGGGAACCTTCCTCTGTAGGCACATAGGTAACTTCGTACAATCCATCACCTGGGGCCGGGTTATCTACTAATTAATCGGTTAGTTAATTAGTAATAATTAGTTGGTTAGTTAATTATGTAGTACTAATCAATCGGTTAATTAGTATGAATGTAATAAAGTGGTCAGTTAATTAACCTGTTATTAATTAATTAGTTAATGGATCATAACCTGAGATCAAAAGACCTATAACCAGTTCATACCATCTTCAAGTTGGGTGAAGAGAAAAGCTTGTCACTCTTACAAATATTAAATAACCCTAACACATAACTCTAACATAGACTAAAAAGTCTTTACCTATTTCGATGGGTGTGACATCTATGGGGTTTTTGGGACCCCTGACCTTGACATCAAGGTCTCCTGGCCCTGCCGCTGATGCATCTATTGTAAATACTGCCGTCTTTCCCACCTGGTCAAGTGGGGATGTCTTAAAGATCGGATTAGGGATTGTTTCAGGGATCATAACTGAACAAATTAGAAATAAACACGTTTAAACAAGTTATTTGGAGTTATTTACAAAGACATGTAAGCTTGCATCAAAATGTAAGCTTAAATGTAAATATTCAAGCTTACATTAAGTTCAAGTTCTAATCATAGCTTATAATAAATATCTACTGTATAGTGTATCTTATCTACTTAATGCTGTATTTTATCTATATTACCTGACCCTCACGGACACCATCTCCACTAACTACCACTGCCTTCACATCTGCTCGTGGCCTGAAAATATTAAAATTTACTTACAGTGTGAAAAGGTCAGTAAGTAAATAGCAGTAAGTACTTAAACAGATGTAATACATAACTTTATGTATCTCGGTTATTGACTGTGAGTAAATCAACTTTCCTAAATTTCACTTTTCCTATTTGGATTGGATAAGGTTTTAACTTTTTAAGAATAAAAACAGAAACGGTATCCGACATCGTTCAAACGGCACAGAATATTTGGTAACTAATAATATGGGACAGAAACTAGAAACTAGAATCCAGTTACTACTAGTTACTACTAGATGTCACTACTAGTTACTTTTTAGCAAATCCGAAGGATATCCGTCTAGTTTTTCCACCTTTAGCTTTTCCCATATCACATTTCAGATGTCAGACAACTCAAAACTTCGGAGCGTAAACTCAATCGTTCAAAATCGTGGAGAGATAGTTCAAATTTCAAATCAAATGTTCAGACGATGACTAATTAAAGTGATTAATATGTAAATGATCTAAAACAGCTGAATTGATCAGTGAAGCTATGACATATTGCAATGCAGGCTAACGTTGGCATTTGGCCAATAATAATCAGGGATTTTGGCAGAGCGCCAATCAATGTAAAGCAGTAAGGTCACGTGGTGGTACAATGTAGCTTGTTAGAAACTTGCAAGCGCAGCAAGTAATAATTGGAGTTATTGGACTTTGTAATCAAATAATTAAATACATGAACTTTATATCGGGGGTTTGACCAAATTTGATACCAATAAACCACCGTACACTTTCATCAACTGTTTTAAAGTTTTAAATACTACTTTTGTCTTGTTCTGCAAAGGAATAAAGATATTTTCTGGCACTATTCCAAATTACAAACAACCAATCTCTGGCTTACACTTGCTCCTAAACTGAACCTCAGAACCTTCAACCCCATACTTACATACTAGCCCTAACAAGTTCACACTTACACTACCTACTAAACTTACTAGCCCCAACAAGTTCACATTTACACTACTTTGTAAGTTTACACTTACTACTAAACTTACTACCTAACAAGTTCACACTTACACTATTTTGTAGTTTACACTTACTACTACACTTACTACCTAACAAGGTAACACTTACACTACTTTGATGACGACAGGAGTAGCAGGAACGTTGATGTCACTGTAGGTCAGGTTAACAATGTGGTCCCCAGCTGAAGTGGGAGTAAACACCACAGTCATGTGACCCGGCGATACCTGAACAGAGAGAGAGTGAAAATAGGGGGAAATAATATTAAATAATGTATATATAATATAAATAATATATATAGAGTTGAAATAGGGGGAAATTACATTAAATAATGTACATATATATAATATAAATAATATATCGATTGAAAATAGGGGGAAATAACATTAAATAATGTATAATATAAATAATAATATAATATTTCAGCGAATGTTTCTTTGGGCAATGGGCATATACCGTTATCGGTCATAATTATCACGGACATTACTTTCACGTTGAAGGCCTTAGCGTGAATAATTATGTCCGTGAAAATAATGTCTGTGGCATTAAGGTCCGTGAATAATAAAGTCCGGTGATTATTTCTATTAATTTTAGTGTGCGTGTCCACTGTCCCTACATATGCGTAAATATGTATGTAACCGATTACTATATAAGCTTATTAGTATAATACGACAAATATGATCACTCCTCAGTAACATTCTAGAGTTCAGAAAAAGAGTAAAACACTTATTAAAAAATCACCAAAAATTTTCACAATTTTTTGGAAATTTTTGGGCGGTCATGACTCATGACCGCCCAAACATTTCCAAAAAATTGCTCATGACTCATGAGCAGTGAATAAATATGTCCGTGAAAAATTTGGTCCGTGAATAACTTGTCCGTGACAATTATGTCCGATAAGGTAGGTATAATACCGACCTAATTTCGAACATAATTTGAGATAATTTCGAACACAATTTCGAACATAATTTCGAACATAATTTCGAACATAATTTCGAACATAATTTCGAACATAATTTCGAACATAATTTCGAACATAATTTCGAACATAATTTCGAAAATAATTTCGAACATAATTTCGAACATAATTTCGAACATAATTTCGAACATAATTTCGAACATAATTTCGAACATAATTTCGAACATAATTTCGAACATAATTTCGAACATAATTTCGAACAATGCCGACCTAATTGCACTTTAACAGCCTGTCAGTATTGTGCCTATTTGCCGTTACTATGCTAAGGAAATAGTGATAACAATTGTTTTCTCAGGCGAAATTCTGATAGACTTCTGAGATTGAAAAAATTTGGACTGATTTGGCCGATATTAAAAAACATACTAAAAAAGGAGACAAAACGTCAAAGCCGTAAACTATTAGTACGCCGCGCTCTTTCTCTTCTCAAGTCTCAGAACATAATTTCGAACAATGACTAACCAATATTTAAATACATGACAAAATATTTGTTGGTTGCATTATGGACATGAGGATTGCCATTACGGTTACTAATGTTTTGATAGTTAACAAAGAAAAAGAAGCGGTCCATTTGCAAATTAAAACATGACCACGAGTTAAGGAGCCATGGCTCAGGTTTCATTACGTTCTCAACAAAAAGAGAGGAAGGGAGAATTATTGTAAGCATTTACTTAGTTACTTACAGATTGTGCTTATACAAAATATAATTTTTAGCTTTATCCAATTCTTTAACAGCCCAAACTCTTTCAACCATATACCGCATACTTTTTGAAACTATAAATTTCAGATCCAGTCAAATAACAACGATTAATAAACAATTATTTATCTATCACTTATTTATACTTATAAAAAACAACATACGATTACTTATTACTTATTTATTACTTATTTATTACTTATTACTTATTTATAACTTATTACTTATTTATAACTTATTACTTATTTATAACTTATAACTTATTTATAAGTTATATTTCAATTGCTCACCTCCTTAGCATGACAATCAGTTCCACTTCCAGGAGGAGCAGAGAGGTTGATCCCCAGTTGTCCAGGACCTGCGTCCGTAATGTCAACAGCCAACTCAACAGGCTCTCCCACCTTCCAGTCCTTGTCACCTGAAACACAAGGAAATCTTTTATAAGGGCCAATGATTCCAATACAAGGTGATTTAAACACCAGGTTTGGGAATAGTTGGATCTCTTCTCCTGTCGTAAGTCATAGGATTTATACTACGATTCTTGCTGAGACTTATTTTAAGGAATTAGATTTTCTAATATAAGATAAAAGCAGAGAAGGGGAAATGTTTCTAGCTGTCAAGAAGTCAAGAAGTGATAACTTACATGATCTACAAGGAGAAAACGAGGAAAACAGAAAGATAACATATCTCATGAAAATACGAGTACAAAATAACGGCTCAAGATTTAATAATCTGATAGATTACTGCGGTAATCTGGATCTGAGTAGAACAGCAACATTCTTTATCTTAACTTCGCTAAAACTCTAAAACTAAGTTTGAGTTGTTTACAGGTAATACGTACAAATTAATTATAAATTTGTGTTTGTCATAAAATCTTAAAATGTTATTCAAGTATGTAGCAGAAGCAGAAAATCTAGACTCTTCTCAGGCCTGGCGGCTGACTAACTAAAGCTGATGAGACAATTTAATAACATGGATCAAAACGATATCATGTGGTACACCCATTTATATAACTAGCAGTGAAATTAACAAAAAATTCACAACAAATAAGAATACTCACTGTCCACTACTACAATAATCTTGGTAGGATCTATAGGATGAACTGTAATAGGGCTGCTGGGGATGTGGCAGTCTTCTATCTTCAGGTTTATTTTAAGGGGGTCTACTGAGAGGGGTGTGTAACTTGCTCCAAACCTGCCACTGCCTGAGGGGAAGCTGGGGTTAGAGATACACGAATACATTATACACAAATACATTATACGCGAATACAATATACATTTTGATTTATAACGTTAAATGTTAAAATTCCGAATAGATGACTCAAAAATCGATATATAAATGGTGATTAGTGGATATTGTTTTGAGGTTCCTGTGAAAATGTTCGTTTTGTTAGTGGATATTCTCAAATAAAAAGTGTTAGTAATTTGCACGAAATAGCTGAACTAGTGAAACAAACCTAGGTTGTCTATAGTAACGTGTAGAGGGTCTCCTTTACTGTCTACTATCTCTACCTTCAGATCGTCACTGCCAACCCTGAAAATGAGGTTTAGTGAGGTTTACTGAGGTTTATTTAGTGAGATTAAGTGAGGTTAAATTAAAAGTGCAAGATTTGATTAAAACACTTGACGGCAAAAAAAACATTTGAAAAGAAATGATAACTATCATGACCAAAAGAAATTAAAAGTATCGAAACGTTAAAAGATTGACAGAATTTAAAAGTATTACTTGCTACAGTCGACAGTAAAGTGAGCCTGTGTCCCGACGACAGGGTTCGAGTTAACATCAGACACGATGCAAGCCAGGAGATCAAGAGGTTTCTTTACCTGTAGAGATAGCTAGTTGCAACGTTAACGGAATGAATCAGACATTGTTTCTAAGTTTAGTCGTGGAAATGAAACATCTAAACATTTTACAGGATGCTGGGATGCTGTTAATAATAATAATGATTGATTGGGGGACTGGTCCGTAGTACCAGCCAATGTTTACTCAAAAGTAATATATAATTGAAATAAGTTAAATATTCATCCCCGAGGGGCACGCAGATTATAATTGTGATGTTATCTATTAAAACTATTCAATTAAAATTTTATTGGTCAGTCGACTGGCCCTGATCTGCAAACATATTTGATATTAGTAACTTTATGATGCTGCCTCACCGCAATTAGGTGTGTTATCAGTGTAGATATGCGCTATGTGGCAGTGAAATAAGGAATGTGCTGTTAGAATGGCAGGTGGTTTGAAATGTTGTCCTGATTCAGATTGTTTAATTTGAGCTGTATGAGTTTGGTTTTGAGTGATTATTGACTATGTTCTTTGTGATTTGCGTAATCCAGGTAGGTTGTGAAGTAAAAATGGTGGCCATTCGTCGTTGCAGCCAGCACTTTGCAAGTCTAGTAGTACTTTTTTTGACGAATTCTTATATATGTTGATAGAAAATATACTGGATGGGCATGTAATGCGAGTGTTATGCTCTGAAATAGCGAGCATTGGGCCTTTATAAAAGATGCTAGATCTCAGGTCAGTCTGTGAGTAAATTGATAACCAGTCTAAGTTTTGTTCGTGTGTCGTTCCGTGTTTGGGTGTGTTAGGAGGCAAAATTTCTGAAATCGATTTAGGTAACAAACTAGACATATTTCGAACTTTGTGCAGTAAGATAAGTGCGTTTTTAACGATAACCCCTTGAACGGTTAAGACCTCGTGTTCTTTAAATGCTAGTTTTGTGTGCTCTGGCAGTTTTCCGTCCTTGTAGTAGTAGTTCACATTTCCGGCCATAACTGCCCTCATACCTTGTTTTTGTTTAGCAAAAAGAGATAAGCCTAATAATAAGCCTACAAACAAGGCATTGCGTTTAACAAGGCATTTAGCGACCGCCTGCAGTACATTTAATATAGTTCCTGCCTATAAATATAAACTACAACTGGAAATACATCCTTGTGTTTGAACAAACCTCCAGATCAATCTCCCCGTCTGGAACAGGATGTCCGGACCAGGTAACGGACACGCGATGCTTTCCGGGGTGTTCCGGAGTGACCCTGACTTCCTTGTTGTCCGGATCAATATCGCCAATTGTCACCTTTAGGGGATGTCCGTCCTCGTCAACTACTGTCACCTGTACATGGTTACATTATTTATATGTCAACTACTGTCGCCTGTCCGCTAAAATATTTGTTTACTGTTTAGTTTGACTGTTATAGTGATCGTTATAGTGGGTCAGGGAAGGGTGCAAGAAACGAAATAGAAACATGGCGTTGCATGATGATACAGAAGCAGAAAGAGAAAGAGAAAGAGAAAGAGAAAGAACAGGATAACAGACCTTGAGATCACCGTTGCCAGCTCCCACCGTACACACAGCAAACTTCATCTCCGTTCCCACGGTAGGATTCTCCAGACCTTTCGTGAGGATCTTAATTTTGAGGGGATCCACATCGTCCACCACGTCCACGTGGAACGGACATCCTTCTACCTGGGGTGGAGATAGTGATCAGTAATTAAGAATTATTAATTAATTAGGATATTAGATAACAAGTTGCCAGTACAATTAAAAGAAACAACATGTGCTTTAGCAAGTAGATGTCACGTTTCAATAATACCCAACCATACAGCTGTCATTCTCAATGTGTAAAATATAAAGTAAAATCAAGGCTCAAATTCTAACATGCGGTTTATCCACGTGCGCAACGTGGCTCTTTGCCAAACGCCGTCTTAGGCATCATCATCTTAGGCATCATGAAAGAGAAACATGAAAGAGAAACATGAGAGCGGATGTGATTATTTGGTTTTGTTTTGTTTTGTGTAGCAGTTATTACGAAATATTTGATTTCCTCAGAGAGAGAGAGAGGGGCTCTGTGGACTAAATCAAAATTAGTTCCTTAATTAATGAGAAATATGATAATGATATTCTGTAACTGATGACTGAGTAGCCCGAACCAAGTGTTCTCCAATCACAGCTCTGCCAGTGTTCAAATGTACCATTAGGAGGACCGAATGAATTGATTTTCCATCATGTGATAAGATTCAACTGAGAAGCTGACGTATGCAGAGAAACTATTTACCAAATCTATATCACGTGATTCACAGTATTGGGCTTTTGCCAGAAAAATCTTATTATGTGTCGTTTATGTTTTTTTGTTCGTTGCAGAATAACGGGCTCTTACAGGCTCTTAAATATTACCAATATCATACAAAATTGGTAACTGTCACTTATTGAGCGTATTCTGGATGCTATGAAAAAATCCCGATAACATTAGTTGATTTAATTTTCAAGCCCGATTATAAAGTGAAAAGGATATTAAATAGTCCAAAAGCAAGGAAGGAGACAGTTAAAACTAAGGTCGTTCAGGCAAAATTATTAATTTCTAATTAATTTCCCAAATATTTCTACGGTAATTATCGATTGTTTTTCGTGAATTAGGTTGTCATTTAGACAGTTAGACAGGGATATATATTATATGTTGAGGATTTCGCGTCCGCATCTTTGACTGTTAATTACAAGGTCTCATACATACACTACTTTCGCACGTACTAATCACACGTTGCATCACACTCTCTGCTATCACACTCTGCACACAGTTATCTGTAATTGTGTTTAATGTTAACCTTCTTCAGAAAATAATTTCCCATTAACAGGGGAAAGTTTCTGAGAATCGACCCACGTAATGGTGACAAATTTTTAAATATTTATAAATATAAAAGGATTCATGCAACAGTGCGTGTTTTGTGGTCCCAGTAATTTTCCCACACTATCACGTCAAGGAAGGGGTTATCTAAGTGAATTTGTACATCAGTTCATGTTTAACGACAGATAAGAAGCTCTAGTTATTAATAACCGGTGTATTCATGATTGAAAGTGGTTGGTTGAATATAAGGATATGTTGATGAGGGAAAAAGCGGCAGCAGGGTGTCCAGGTGATTTTGAAAATGAAATCTACGAATCTCAGAAAAAATCTATGAAATCTATGAATATTTCTGTCTCAGCAAAGCGAGGTTTCATATTCTGCTCGAGTGAAGCCGAAAGGCCTGAGCGAGACGTGACGATCACCTGCAGGCGCCGATTTTCGGGGGAAAAAGTATTTTTTGCAGTGCCACCGGCGAACATTCTGCTACTACTACTCAGTATCAGAAGTGACCAGGTTCATATTCCACAGTTGTAATTAGGATCGTTCAAATATTTTTAATATTACGTATGCTAAATTTCGGCCATTTCAAACCCATCTCCCACCTCTGTAAGCCGTTTTACATATAGCTATTGTGTAGCTATTACAGTAACGTAAGCTTTCCCCCCCCCCCCTCGCCCCCCCCCCCCCCCCCCCCCCCCCCCCCCTCTTACGATCCATAATCACCTCATTTCCAGCGTATTTGACGGTGATGAGAACAGGCCCCACTTTGTCAGGGGTGTAATGTACAGTGTACTTCATAGTGTCCTCATCAAATACAGTGTCCACAGGTAGCTTCCCTCCTGGTCCCACTATCGTTACCACCAAGTCTCCTGAAGGAGGAGGTTTTTTATAATTTAAAGAATCTAAAATGAGGTTTTAAACAATTGACAGTGGGAAGTGGGGGTGTAAGCATTATTTCTGCTATCCAGTTCTTATGCGATGTCCTGAATTTATCACAACTACCGCCGTCGAATTGTTATGTACCGCTGGTAATAATCATGCAGGACTGGATGTTTAGTACATGTTGTCCTAAACACAAGGAAATATCTTGAAACTAGACATAAACCATTTGATACAGTAACCACAGTAACCACAGTAACCACAGTAACCACAGTAACCACAGTAACCACAGTATAACTAACCAACACCAGCGTCAGAGGTATCCACCACAAAATGTGTCGGTTTATTAACGAACCCCTTCTCCAGGCCGTCACCGGACAGCTTGATCTTTGTTGAGTCTGTCGGCGCGAGGACCTGAAATCTTGAAAATTAGAACTTGCTCTTAATTTTTTAGTAGACGAAGACACTTATTCGGGCTTTAACATTTACTTATATTTTTGAACTGAAAACCTTGAATATATCATCGACTTAAACTGGCCAATTGTTCAAATCTGATCGAACAATTTTGGTCTTTCGGCGAATTTTAACTTTATTCATGATAAAATTATATAAATTTGTGTTTATCGATTAAAAACAAACCTTGACAGTGAAGTCTCCACCAGGGATATCCACTTTGTTGTAGGTCACGTGAAACTTGTGTGGGCCCGGTATTTGGGGGGTGTATTGAACCTGTAACAAGTCAGTAATAATTCAGGACATATCAGTAGGTAAATGTATAGCTGGTCATAACAGTAAGAAGCAAGAACTGAAGTTTAAGAGTTTAGAGATTGGGTTATAATTTTGCTTGCCCCCCCCCCCTCCCATCCCACACTACCAAGTTGAAAGTAATACCTTCGTCTCGTTATCCTTCTTCCACAGCTCCATAGGAACAGTGTTACCATGGCAATCTCTAATTTCCACATCTAGTTTACCAAAACCAGCACCTGTAAATATGTGTTTAGTGTAATTGCAAGTAATTTTCAGTTAACGTTGTGCATAATAGATAAATTCGTCAATCGAGTTTCAAGGTATCTAGGTTAGGGTTAACGGAATGTTTAGATGTTACAGTAACCAAAGTAACCAAAGTAACCACAGGGTTTTATCGGTACTACAGAGCTACAGGATTGACGAATCTTCGCAACACTAAGTCAAACTAACCGGAAGTATCTACAAAGAACTGAGTAGGTGTGTTGACTAAAGCAGTCTCAGTTCCTGGTCCGTATATCTTTATCTTCAGAGGGTCTGATGGAACCAAATCTGAAGTGTCACATGTTAGAGAGACATGTTTTTAGGTTAAAGTTGACAACTTACCTGAAAAACTCTGCTTTCAATGATAATAAGTTAATGAAGAAAGGGCATAAAAGTCCGGAATCTAGCAGGTCTTGTTCTTTTTCAGTACGGACTCCATAAGTCCTGAGTCCGGAGTCCGGACAATGGAGTTAACAGTTTCAACGTGTAACTTTACCAATAGTAGGGGTAGCGTTCTTGAGCAGGGACACGTATGTCAGAACTGACAGCTCGTCTATGTTAGGGTTCACAAGATCTTCCGCTTCTATTATCTGAAATAGATAGTGTTACCATGGCAATCTCTTTAGTATTCTCTTTAAACCAAGGGTATTTTATAAAATAAAGAATTTTAATTGAAGCAGTAGATTAGTCTTCCAAGTAAAATGCTAGTTATTTTCTGATCTGAATCTAGGTAGGTGCTACTTTTACAGTTTAACCCACAAATTATTTACCCTATAATTAAAAATGTAAGTGAGAATATCTGCTCAAAAACTGTTTTCCGTGTAACACGTACTTAAAGTAAAATTTAAAAAGTGTTCCCCGGCAAATGTCACTCAAACACCCGGACGAATCTACGGACGGGTTCTCACCTTGGGTACCCCCAGGCCCTGCTCAGCCCTGTCCAGACCCAGTCTAGCGTTCTCCAGTCTAGCGTTCGGGTCCAGACTACTATACTCAGGGCAGAGGCCCGGTGCTACTGCCTCTATCATGCTGCACAGTGCCAGTCCGTCGTTCCAGTCCGTCGTGAAGTTACGTACTGTTTTTCCTGGGTGGGGGGTTTAGGTTAGGCTTGGTTTGTTCAAGTGTTATCGTCTATACACATGTTTCTTTAGTTATAAACACCTCAGGGTTAGAATAATCAACCGCGGGCGGGCGGGATAGATTCTGATAATCCCGGCTCCCGGCTGTTAATTTTTTCCCGCTTAATAAATAACCCTGGCACAGCTTCTATAATCCCGCCCCGCTAATTTGGCTCAACAAGATTTGTTTTGTTTTCATATTCCATGAGAATTTCATCCGCGCACTGTCAAGTGTTTTGATTGTTGATGAAATGTCATAGTACCTTAGTTTTATTTATCTAGTAGTATAATATACGTCCCAATTCCATTTTATATTTTCCATACTGATCTCATATAGTTAGAATGAAAGGTACACATTAAAACGAATTAGCCCTAGCACTTAGCAACACCCCGGAGGTGTTTATAGCACAAAACGCCGGCAAGTTTAAGGTTATATTAAAATAACCCCTCGTACTCAAACACGTCGGCGTTATTTTCATAATAATCCCTCGGGAAAAATTGAAATACAATCTCTGTGCGTGATGGTGTTATACTTATAACTCATCATTTTATCCCTGAATCGCGATATATATATATATATTTTATGTATAAATATGTTAATGTAGCCCCATCAGCACTTATATCTGCTATACCCAAAAATAAAACAAGGGTTAGCAATATTGAGATGGGGTTATATCATGGTAGCGAGCAGGCGAGCGAGCGTGGCGCCCTTAACACTAACAGCACACCTACGCGAGCGTGGCGCCCTTAACAGCACACCTACAACCACATGCAGGTAATCAGCTCCCGCTGGTACCAACCAACAGCACCCGTGTTACCTGATCTCGAGGTGTCGTTTGGTACCTCGTTTTCCCACTTACCAACGTCCACATTGGGAATTTGCCCAGCACCTGGGTTCATCAAGAGTTTGCCGAGATGACGAAACATAAAGTCCGCAGAATGACGGTGCACTTGATGCCCAATGCCCATATAAGGTAATTTTATCACAGAGCGAGCTGGACACGGCCACACTCTACAGTGCGAACTGTCTGCTTTTAGCGACTCTGCAACGTGAGGCAGGGTACAAGCTTACTTCTTGTATTTAAGTATTTATAACGCATTGGTTATGGCGGGGAAAACGAATTTTGGCGAAATCTTTTGTATAAAATTTAATTTTCAATTTCTTTCGCACGCGCCGTTCTTCACCGACGGCGAAATAATTTTACGGTGACTAGGTTCCTAGATTCTCAGTATTATAATGTTACTATCATTTCTGCACAAGTATTGTTCCTATGCATTTCGGAAGCGTATTCTGCAGATACCTCAACCTGCCAGTCACCTAAGGAACGATCTGCCGTCTCAAATGAATAAATAACGTTTATTATTAAACACACTTACAGTATATGACATTCAAAATCGTTTAAAAAACAGAAACCATACCTAACTGTTCTTTGATTTTTGAGACTTTTTCTAGTCCTAGGCCCTAGCTTAATCGCCAAATTTTGACCCGGATTCCAAATATAATGAAATGCTGATTTTTAGTGAGAACGGGACGAAGCCAGGATTCCAGTTAATTATCCTTGTATTGGTATAGCAGTATCATATATAGCATCCATCATTCTATTTTACTACAGTACGAACCCTTTCGCTCTAACGCCGAGTTTTAATTTTAAACATGGTTGATGGTTAGCGTAACCACAGCAACGTGTTCTACGTGGTCGGTTCAGGGTATTGAATACGATACTGAAGTGGGCCAAAACTTATATTGAAAACCTATCTACTACTTTGAGTTTGAATATTTGATCACTATATTGATTCTTCATATAAAAACGATATTAATTAACAAAACACTCCGTTTAAATACAATCCATCGAAATATTACTTAACCAAAACAGAAAGATAATACTATGCTCACTGCTCTGATACTTTTAATCTATATTTCATAGTCTATACCAACCACTTGTTGTTGCTTTTGGCCGGGCGCAGGACTGGAAAAAAGTGCCGGACCGGGACCGATCTTGTAACCTTACTTTTTATGAATACGACTTATCACTTAACCCTTAAGCTGCCGTAAAATGTTTTATTCTAACCCCTAAACAGAAACCGCAAACTGGTAGAGGTTTATATGCCGTGCGACCAAGTATGGGGTAAAATTCCGTTTTGCTGTGACGAAAATTTGTGATTAAGAATTAGGGGAGGGGTCCATGTCATTCGCCATTCCTATGTAAAATGGGTATTCTAAATCTGTTATCTTTTCTAAATAGTAAATATATTTACTAATATATAAAGTACAGAAGCCACAAAGTAAATTGTATAATAACTTTAAATTATATGGTAGCTCTTATTTCGTTCCTTTCTAAGAACACATCGTATGATTAGTGATTACAGCTGTACAAGACAACGTTGAATGATTTCAACTTTTCAAGTCCCCTGAAATGATTAATTGTATATGATAACCAGAACACGTCAATGTTTCGTCTGACTGAGACTCTATCAAGGATAAGTTGACAGTATCTGTCAACAAGTTGTTGCTAGCGGAACGGTCCAACCGCCCTTCATAGATAATGTAGGTATATAATATACTGACATAACGTACCTAACACGATAGCACGTGGTATATTCGCTTTCACTTTCTCTGCGCGGCGTTATCTCAAGAACAAAATACATGGACACAACCCGTCCTACATTCTCTTTCACTTTCTCCGTTTCTTTACAGTTTGACTCTCTGTTGTGCTGCAATTACTTGAGGAGGGTTTGAGTTAATCTACTCATTGTTGAGATTCAGGGCGGAGCCTTGACAACACGTGACAATGTATTATGTCCAGCTAATATAAGGATAGGATAAAACTAGGCTGCTCAGGCGAGGAGAGTTGAGAACAAAGAATGTGAAGTGACACGTGGGCAATATGAAGTGACACGTGGGTTAAAAACAGGGATAATTGTCGAAGCTTTTAATCCGAGAACAGTAAGATTGTATTGGTTTGTAAAAAGAGCTTAGAAATCGCGGACTCTGTTAATTTTGTCCAATTAAGCAAAACAATGCCAGCGAATCGACTGACGTGAGCTGACTTCAGACATTCTTGGAGAATAAAATGATGAATTTATTCTGCGGTTTGATAAATATTAACGAATAAGTAGGAGCAGCTCATCTTACAGCGGGATTTTCAGCTTTTGTACTCCCCGCGTATTAATAACACAGTGGGAATATTTAAGTAACTATTGCAAGTGAAAATTGAATACTAAAGAATGGCTCATTCTGTTAAATAAAGGTCTATATTTAGAAAATCCAAAAAGAGTAACTAATTTGAAATTGATTTATGGTGAATTATTTAGATATTTATTTAGATTTAGAAGATAAGTAGAGAGAAACTCAAATTCTGTAGACTAGTCTGTACTAATATGTCCCCAAATCTAGTGATTTGAAAACATTGAAAATGCCCAGTGACACACTTGTCCACTTGATACTTTACAGAACAGGTGTCCACACATCTGTCAACAACAACAGATCCTGGGAATACTTGTTTAACAAAGCCTGAATTCCAACATTTCTACTGAGTCAGGCACTGCGTAGGTCGTCCAAGTTTGGGTTTAACTTTGTTTAATATCAATGAGTATTGAGTAGGCTAGAACTTAATTAATTAAGTTAATTAATTAATTAAGGGAATTAAGGTCCTATCTGTACCACAAAAACTTCTTCATTAACTCAGGTCTGTTTTAATACTTTCAACACTACTATATAACAAATAATTTGAGTAAATGGCATTCAACATGGCCGCTGGATTACTGGTGACGACTGCTTAAAGACAGACGAACCTATAGTATAAAAGGCTGCGAAGAGTGTGACGAAGTATCATTGCTTCATTGGCTTTATTGAAATGATGAATTGCCCAAACAATCAAGTCTGTACAGTGATTTAAAGTTTGGTATCTAGAATTTCCAATTTGAATGATTGGGTAATTTTTATTAGCCACATATCACATGACACATGTTGAAAGCGAGATATTTCCAGCTGGTCTGTTGAACGAAACAATACGACTAACGTGATATTCGTTCATTTAAAGTCCGTTAGAATATCCGGGTACCATGTACGTGCAGGAAAGTTCGCGCTCTTTCGAAGAGCAACGTTTGAGTTCATATGTTATGAATTATGCAAATACATTAATGTATTTATGTCTGCCCAGATTTATGTCCACATAATTTCCACATAATTTCCGCATAATTTCCACATTATTTCCACATAATTTCTGCTCAATAAGGTATAGTTTACAGTCAGTGAGGTTTGCTAATGTTCTGTTTTGATATCTGTTCAATAAAATTGGAAAATATTTAGTATAAATATTACTTTCTATTTATTCAGACAAAGAGACAGTCGGAATACTGCATTACATTTGCTAGCGTTTATTTCCGAATAAATTGGCGCCCGTCACTGAATCAAGTAAGACAGTCTAGATAGTTGTGTCCAATAAGATGCCAGCAAGTGGGCCCGGCAGGTGGGATCCAGGCACGTGCCACCAACCCAACTCTCCGGTCAGGCTGCCTGCATTGTTATTTTCAGCCCACAGTTCTCAGGGCTAATGAACGACTTTTGTTTTGCACGAGCATGGAGCGGCTGACACTTCAGAGATCCCAATGACCTGACAAAAGCAAGGCACACGTGCCCTGAGTTCAAGCTTGTAATTGGACAATAGCACCGGTACCCGCACTGCCATCTCTCACCAGCGCCTTTGTTGTCTCCCAGCAGTTTAATTCGGGATGCACGATGGTGTATTGTGTTTGGTGGTCGGGCGAGCATGTCTTGATAACAATAAACTATTATCTTATCAGATAGTTTATACCATTTCTGTAAAGACAAAGAAATCTTCAGATCGGTTTCGCTATGCGTGCATGATAAAAAGGCGGTCCACAAATGAGAAATCATTTTTTATTTCAAGCGAACTGCTGATCTTCTTATGTGATTCATCACTTTTCGGCAAAAAGGAGTAATATGAATCACAGTGCCCCGTTAAAACTCTTATTTATGTACTATAATTTAATTGCATCTAATTCAGTTTCCCAATCTAGTATAGTTCCAAATAACTTTAGATGAATGTGTTTATTAATTAAACAAATTTCTGTTTCTAATTTAATATCCTACTCTAGCCTCGCTCCAAACTCCAAAGTACTCCAAAGATGAAGCTGTTCATTGCTATCACCCTTTTCGCCATGGTCATGTTCGTTAACTGCCAAGGTAATGATCAATATTTCTTTTGCCACAGATTTATTTTCATAGTTGTCATTAACTTCTAACTTAAAAATATATAAATTTCATTGATGAAACAATATATAGGTAATGTTATGCATATGAGTTTAACGACGACTCAACGACTGCATATAAAAGTTGAGTAGTTTAAATGAGTGTAATATTTTCAGAAGCTGAAACCGAAGCAGAAGCTGAACCCGAAGCAGAAGCTGAACCCGAAGTAGAAGCTGAAGTCGAAGTAGAAGCAGAAGCAGATGACGCTGATGCCGGCGGTAAGTTAAGGAATGATCTTGGTTTATTTTACAATAATAATTTAAGTATCAAAAGTATATAATAAGTATCAAAAGTAACCGTACAGCAGACCTTTTGTGGTTCTCAGGTATATGATCAGCTCTGAAGTCTGAGTAACACTTTACTTTTCAGCCTCCTCAATCCAGCTGGCTCTCCTTGCTCTGGTACCAGTAGTTGCCCGACTTGTCTAGGAACGTCGTAAGTTTGAAATATACCGACTAATTATTATTTTAATAAGTTACATTTCTGGCTCATTACTTTTTATCAATTATAGATTCCTCATTAATTCTCATGTACATGGATTTGACAATAACATATATTGTCGACTATAATTAATCATACAACATAATATAGTTATAATGATATTAGATATATAACATGTCAAGCTTGATTTTAAGATAATAACTCTGAGCTTTTCTAGCTAGTCTAGTTCAACTTAAGGTTAATGTAAGACGTAAAACGATTACCTTACTCGGGAATATTATAGCGGGTTAATTTATGACTGGGAAAATTAATGACCGGGAAAAATATGGCGGAATTTTCCAAAACCCACCAAGCATCAAAATGTATTACTATTAGTTTACCTTACTCGGGAACATTATAGCGGGTTAATTTATGACTGGGAAAATTAATGACCGGGAAAAATATGGCGGAATTTTCCAAAACCCACCACTTTATCCCAGTCATAATATTCCCGAGTAAGGTAGTCAGATAAACCAATATTTACTTATATTCTAAGGTTAATATAAAACGATAAGTCAGATAATTCAATAAATGCATTTATTTTCTAAGCACCTTTATCAAGGTATAAATTGTAAACCATGTTTTATTTTCAGAGGCAGCGGTCCCCCGCTGCAATTCGCAGAGATTGAGCAACTACTTCCTTATACGGACGAAGCGGAGGATTTCATGCTAATCAGACACGAATTCAAAAACTTTCGGTCACTTAAATTATACGTTCGGGTAAATTTAGGTGATTTCAGTGTTCAAATTTAAACCATGGCCGTGGTGATTTTGTCATTTTGCTTTCTTTTTACTATTTGACTTTTATGATTATCTTTTCTTAATTGTTGTTCTTACTGTGTCAAGTCATTTACTTAAAATTAAAACTAAATGTGGACCTAAAATGATATTCGATATTATGGTAAAAATTCGGTAAAACCATAATTCCAACAACATAGAGTTCATTAATATCGTCAAATAACGTCTAGAAAAACAAATCCATATCATTAGCTCTGCTTCACCCGCTCTCCTTGAAGATTTTGTGATGTAATCTTATAGGAACCTGTGCATTGTACAGCACAGACCGACCGATACAAACTATCTGTTAATGAAGGAAGTTAGAGCAAACTCTGAGGAAGGACTGCGGACAAGGATATTTGGAGGGTTATCAGGCGTAGGTCGGACTAGTAGTAATACCCCTCTGAAGTCATACCCTGAAGTCAGCTTGACTTTAACCCTGCTCCCTGCTCCCTGCTCCCTGCTCCCTGCTCCCTGCTCCCTGCTCCCTGCTCCCTGCTCCCTGCTCCCTGCTCCCTGCTCCCTGCTCCCTGCTCCCTGCTCCCTGCTCCCTGCTCCCTGCTCCCTGCTCCCTGCTCCCTGCTCCCTGCTCCCTGCTCCCTGCTCCCTGCTCCCTGCTCCCTGCTCCCTGCTCCCTGCTCCCTGCTCCCTGCTCCCTGCTCCCTGCTCCCTGCTCCCTGCTCCCTGCTCCCTGCTCCCTGCTCCCTGCTCCCTGCTCCCTGCTCCCTGCTCCCTGCTCCCTGCTCCCTGCTCCCTGCTCCCTGCTCCCTGCTCCCTGCTCCCTGCTCCCTGCTCCCTGCTCCCTGCTCCCTGCTCCCTGCTCCCTGCTCCCTGCTCCCTGCTCCCTGCTCCCTGCTCCCTGCTCCCTGCTCCCTGCTCCCTGCTCCCTGCTCCCTGCTCCCTGCTCCCTGCTCCCTGCTCCCTGCTCCCTGCTCCCTGCTCCCTGCTCCCTGCTCCCTGCTCCCTGCTCCCTGCTCCCTGCTCCCTGCTCCCTGCTCCCTGCTCCCTGCTCCCTGCTCCCTGCTCCCTGCTCCCTGCTCCCTGCTCCCTGCTCCCTGCTCCCTGCTCCCTGCTCCCTGCTCCCTGCTCCCTGCTCCCTGCTCCCTGCTCCCTGCTCCCTGCTCCCTGCTCCCTGCTCCCTGCTCCCTGCTCCCTGCTCCCTGCTCCCTGCTCCCTGCTCCCTGCTCCCTGCTCCCTGCTCCCTGCTCCCTGCTCCCTGCTCCCTGCTCCCTGCTCCCTGCCCCCTGCTCCCTGCTACCTGCTCCCTGCTCCCTGCTCCCTGCTCCCTGCTCCCTGCTCCCTGCTACCCTCCTCATCCTGCCAAAGACGTCATCTATGGCAGAACTTGTGAAGATGTTTTATATGATGTTTTAAAAATTGCAACAAGTTTTAATCGAAGAACTCGTAATTAAAAGTACACAAATATCCGTATAAGTGCGTGTTCAGTATCCACAGTCATTATGCTGAGTATGTAAACAGAACCGAACTTTGTACGCGTACCGTTACACCTGTTAAATACACGCAAACGTACAGTTACACAGTACGTGTACTTCGTGTACTAGTACCGGACCTTCATTATTTGACGTTTTATAAGACTATTTCTTTCCTTCCTCTAATAAGCCGAAGTTTTAATAAGAATGGTGATAAATCTTAAATATAAAAATAAATAGCGAGAAAGGTAGATAAATAGCGAGAAAGGTAAATCATCTCTATACATACCATTATTATGTTGATGAATTACGGGTGAAACCCCGAATTTACTCGAATGAATACTGAATAGTGATTAGTGATGAATAGTGATAATTAGTGATCAATAGTGATGAATAGTGATGAATAGTGGTGAATAGTATTAGTGGCGAATAGTGATGAATAATGATGAATAGTGGTGAATAGTGATGAATAGTGATGAATAGTGATAAATAGTGGTGAATAGTGATGAATAGTGATGAATAGTGATGAATAGTGGTAAATAATGATGAATAGTGATGAATAGTGGTGAATAGTGGTGAATAGTGATGAATAGTAATGAATAGTGATGAATAGTGATGAATAGTGATGAATAGTGATGAATAGTGGTGAATAGTGATGAGTAGTAATGAATAGTGATGAATAGTGATGAATAGTGATGAATAGTGATGAATAGTGATGAATAGTGATGAATAGTGGTGAATAATGATGAATAGTGGTGAATAGTGATGAATAGTGATGAATAGTGATGAATAGTGATGAATAGTGATGAATAGTGATGAATAGTGATGAATAGTGGTGAATAATGATGAATAGTGATGAATAGTGATGAATAGTGGTGAATATTGATGAATAGTGATGAATAGTAATGAATAGTGATGAATAATGATGAATAGTGATGAATAGTGGTGAATAGTGATGAATAGTGATGAATAGTAATGAATAGTGATGAATAGTAATGAATAGTGCTGAATAGTGATGTCGCCCCTTCCTCCTCCCCTAAAAAATCCGCCTTTCTTTGATATAATTTACTTCAAACAATCAGCAATACCACATAAATAAAACATAGGTGGCAGGGGTGATGTCACACCCTAACTACATATTATATTGGAGTCATGTTACACACTGCTGAGGACTCTGCGATGACAGCATCGACACTAAAGTGAAAGTGAAAGAGAATCACGGGCCTCACCTTACCATACATGTTGGTTTCTTTACAGGATCATGACAGTTTACATGTTAATTCTCGTCTGCTCGGTATTATGGATCACTTCACTTTAATTTTCACATTATCGCGACATATTGGCTCATAGTTGGTCGTGTATGGGCTAAGTTTTAAACTTTGCAAAATATACTCTCACTAACAAAACAAATATGCAGCACCGTGTCACATATGCTGAGGTAGTGACACGGTACTGTCCCTCCCTCTCTCCCTCCCTCCCTCCCTCTCTCTCTCCCTCCCTCCCTCCCGTCTAGGCAGGGTGCTAGGTTGTGGGTGCAGCATAGTGTAATGTCATCTTCACTATCACATGGTGATACACGAGTATTTTAGTGAAATCTCGTCCTGAGTAGCACCCTTTTCCTTAATTTTGTGAAATAATGTATCATCGAAACAGAAATTGAAAGAGAGAGAACTTAGACTTCAATCTTCTGTTATTACATCCTTCAGGAATTTTGGATTCAGTATGATGATTGATGAAATTATTGAGCTGCAACATCTCAAGATGAGATTTTACAGGTGATTCGACCAACGGTTAGAATCTTCTCTCTCCCTCTCTCTCCCTCTCTCTCCCTTCCTCCGGCCTCCCCCTCCCTCCCCTCTCTCTCCCCCCTCTCTCTCCCCCTCTCTCTCCCCCCGTCTCTCCCCTCTCTCTCCCCCTCCCCCTCCCTCCCTCTCCCTCCCTCTCTCCTTCCCCCCTTTCTCCCCCTCTCTTTCCCCCTCTCTCCCCCTCTCTTCCCCTCTCTCTCCCCCTCTTGCTCCCGCTCTCGCTCGCTCTCCCGCTCTTTATAACTTATGCTGCAGTTTATATTTTATCCTAACGCCTTTGGTTCAAGAGTAATAGTTGAAAAAACGTAATGGGTAATTTGCGACCCGGACGATTGGGCCGTTTGCGACCGCAGTTAGCACACAGCGTCTAGCTCTGTTCGTGAACATCTGATTATCACGGGCTTTTCACAAGTCTCTGGGAAATCGTTGCCCGCAACTATTTTGTTCCCAGTGAAAAAAGCCTACATAACGTTTAAACGGCCCAATCAAGACAAGAAGAAAGATAATATTTTCCAATTACCGTTACTTATTAGCCTAATTATCTAATTGTTAGTGATTCGTTTGGTCACTATTGTGAAGTCAAAAATGTAGCATAATAAATTTTGAGCACATGTGCTCAAGATTTGTGGCGTTCAGTATTTTGGTTTGTCATCTGTAGCCTCGAGAAAAGAGGAAACATTGGGTTAAGCTTAATTAAATTTAAAACAATAATAATCTCAGGTTTTATTTATTTATTTTACTTTTATTTGGGCGATCCTCGATCAAAATGCATGTTATTGCAGCTCTAAACGAGTCTGGCAACACGGTATATATATATAGCTAATAATTATAAAGTGGTATAATCTGGACCCAAATGGTAACATTAAGTGACCTAATGGCTAATAGAGCGCATACAGCACGGTTTCAAGGTGTCATTCAAGCGATACCAGGCATTTGCCAAGAAGAAGAATTATTTTTCATAACTTAAATGAGTATTTGATATTTGATATTTAAGAAAACTTTGACCACTCACGACATTTCCATGAAAAAAGTGAAAAACTGCAGTATCAGCCTCCACTTCGCATTTATTTAGGTCAGAAGGTTTATTAAAAGACGCGTGTAATAAAATATGTAGAATCTGAGAGCGATGACAGTGATATGATTTATGAAAGAGAAACTAGTTTTCAACGCTCGACTATAAATGACATTAGATATTGCGCGCGTCTGCCCACGTGTCCAGATCACGTGCAGCCTGCAGGGCCACGTGCAAACTGTTCTGTCCATAAAAACAGTCACGTTACAACAGATAAAATCACGTGAAGTCTCTCTTTCTCAGGTCGCTGTCCGGACACCTAAGTACTACCTATCATCAGCTCGCTGACAGGGTAAAGAGAAAGTGTTCCCCTACTACTCTGTGAGGTGTTATGAAAATAGGTGGCCTCACGCAAATCGCTTTCACTTTCATAAGCACAGAATGGGCTCTACTCCTCGGTTGAGCAAATCAGTTCTTGGTTTCCATCTTTTATTCGGATTGGCCCGTCATCAGTAACTTAACTCAATATAGATACTTGCGACATAGTAAACATGTTCTTGTGCGTTTGTCGTTTATTTTGCTTTTATCAGCTTATTAAACTCGTATGATATTTATAATGTCGCGCTTTTATATTGTTATCTATATTTACGTTTTAAGTTTGATATTTTAAGATTTTGTCGGAGAAATAATACAATATATGAAATTTTAATTTTTTATTTTATTTCTGTTTCAAAATTGATATCCTACTCTAGCCTCGCTCCAAACTCCCAAGTACTCCAAAGATGAAGCTGTTCATTGCTATCACCCTTTTCGCCATGGTCATGTTCGTTAACTGCCAAGGTAATGATCAACATTTCTTTTGCCACAGATTTATTTTCATAGTTGTCATTAATTTCTAACTTAAAAATATATAAATTTCGTTGATGAAACAATATATAGGTAATGTTATGCATATGAGTTTAACGACGACTCAACGACTGCATATAAAAGTTGAGTAGTTTAAATGAGTGTAATATTTTCAGAAGCTGAAACCGAAGTAGTAGCTGAACCCGAAGCAGAAGCTGAACCCGAAGCAGAAGCTGAACCCGAAGTAGAAGCTGAAGTCGAAGTAGAAGCAGAAGCAGATGACGCTGATGCCGGCGGTAAGTTAAGGAATGATCTTGGTTTATTTTACAATAATAATTTAAGTATCAAAAGTAACCGTACAGCAGACCTTTTGTGGTTCTTAGGTATATGATCAGCTCTGAGTAACACTTTACTTTTCAGCCTCCTCAATCCAGCTGGCTCTCCTTGCTCTGGTACCAGTAGTTGCCCGACTTGTCTAAATCAGGACAAGATCTCCAGCCCGGCACCGTTTCCAGCTTTTTATAGAGATCTGGAAACAATGGACTCGGGACTTTATGTTGTAGTGACGTCACCCAGCTTAAATTTTTAGATTGTCGACTTTGTTGTTTGTAGGTGAAATTTCATTTTTATATTTTTATGTAATTATTGTTATTCTGATATAAAAACCCCAGATTTGTGTCTTTTATTTTCTACATGGAACATTTGAGTTCGCTGCAATTTTTACAATTTCGATGCAGTTCCTGCCTCCTGAGAGAATCAACAAGCCAAACATAAGATTACAATCTTAGAAGCTTTCTGAAATAATCTGTAGAAACATCAAACATGGCAAAGTAAAACGACGCTTCGATGATTGCCAAGAAAAATTAAGTCTGATTATTCCCTAAAAATAAGCTCATGTGGCTCATCTTTTGTTTGGTCGAAATAACCATACCAAATGAGGACCTGTTTTACAATTTAACCTTTTGGAGTTTTATGTAGACTTATTCGGAAATTTCCCCTAGCCTATTACTCTATTACAAAATGGGAATGTCTAAACACAACTGGGATATTAATATTACTTTCTTCAATAATCGTTGGCCATAGAATCCTGTTTTCTACCTAATTTCATGTTTTACGATCCGGGGGGGGGGGGGGGGGGGGGGGGGGAAGCCTGATACAAACAAGAAGTCTTGTTTCTAGGTCTAAGCACAGTGAGCGCACGGTCTAACTAATACATCATAACATTGATCATGTCTAGAATAGTCTTATTAACTTAAAAGTTATCAGATCTGATATCTCATGTTATTATACTCCTCAAGAGTGTCACAAAACTACATTGGTAATAAGTTACCTTGGTAATACGTTACCTTGGTAATACGTTACCTTGGTAATACGTTACCTTGGTAATACGTTACCTTGGTGATACGTTACCTTGGTGATACGTTACCTTGGTGATACGTTACCTTGGTGATACGTTACCTTGGTGATACGTTACCTTGGTGATACGTTACCTTGGTGATACGTTACCTTGGTGATACGTTACCTTGGTGATACGTTACCTTGGTGATACGTTACCTTGGTGATACGTTACCTTGGTGATACGTTACCTTGGTGATACGTTACCTTGGGGATACGTTACCTTGGTGATACGTTACCTTGGTGATACGTTACCTTGGTGATACGTTACCTTGGTGATACGTTACCTTGGTAATACATTACCTTGGTAATACGTTACCTTGGTAATACATTACCTTGGTAATACATGTAACCATAGTACATGTCCAATGGATGTTAAATTATTCTTTAATTATATCCATACTATTATTATTATATAGAGTATGGACAGGATCGTTCACATATTACGAAGTGTACTTTTAATACTTGAAGGGCTTCAGCTATTCCTACAGTGTAAACACTTAAACTCATATATATATTATATCCCATATATATGCCCAAATATGGTCATATAGTATGTATGTATATTATATCCCATATATATGCCCAAATATGGTCATATAGTATGTATGTATATTATATCCCATATATATGCCCAAATATGGTCATATAATAGTATGGATATATATTATATCCCATATATATATATCGCAAAGTGGTAGAGCTGTTAAGTGGTGCGACATGAAGGTGACCAGATCTAAAAACCTGGAACCAGAGTTGAGGCTGTTTGATTTAGAGTATTGGGTATCTAGCCTGCAAGCATACCCAGCAGAACGACTTACTGTCTTGCATTAACAATCGAATGAGTTACCCATCGTAACGGATGATGATACCTCCAAAATGTTCATTTTATGACTATTATATTACAAGTATTAAAAGTACACCTTTAATTCATCATCCTGTACTCCTGATGTACAATCCAATACAAAACCATCTTGGTTTTATTGTTTGCTCTCCAACAAAACTCTAGACCCTACCAAATTTACTGACACAGCAAGAGCAATCCATTCAATTCTATTTGTTAACGAACAATATACAAGCTACTATTATAAGAGCCCAGATTTCCACTCAAATACTGGCCAGTGCATTATCCTTGAGGACCACAAAATAAAATTGAATCCTACAAATTCGATATAATTTTATCCTAGCATATATAACACTTTTCAGCTACATATCTGTAAATAATCGGATTTTTAACTTGAATTATTTCAAGATTACTACTAGTACTATTGTGTATTCAATAAAGTAACTATCCTTGTTTGATTGCAATGCAGACTGCTGAGAGGGCCCCTCCCAAAAAGTTTGTTTCTAAAGCAAAACACGCAGTTTTGCTAGTACCTTAGCTAAGTTTTTCAAAATTGTCCCAACCACACATTCAAACGACGATTTGGCGCCCCCCCCCCCCCACAGCGGGGCTCTTGGTTACGTCACTAGTGACTAGTGGGTCGGTAGGTTACCACTTACCAGCGATGAGATGTTATAAGTTTCAGAGAATAATCGTGATTTTTCATTTCTTATCTGTATCTATTGAGAGACATTTTGAGTCCCAGAACGACCAGTGATTATTATCAATTTCTTGACCAAGTGTTTCTGACTCTTTCGCCTGCACCGGCCCGACAATATGATCTGTCGGGTAACATCTGACGAAACGTACAGACTTCAGCGTAGATATATGGAGTTCAACGTCACCAACTCCATATTTCCCATCGGTCAAAAAACCTAGCATGCCGCGCGCATCGCGCGGGCGTGGCATTTGCAATAACGATTGAGTACTTGATATTCTGATATATTTTCGCGCGTTACACGTAATATACGAAATTATCAGTAACACCATCTACAAAACCACCTCTTTTTGAAGATTTTAACTGCACGAACATACATTAATAACACCTAAATCACCGTCCAAATTAAATTGCAGGATCGTACCTTCAGGCAGGTTGGTGATAAGGTCAGTTGCCCAATTCTGTAGCTGTTTCTTAGCTGAAACTCCACTTCCTTTCCCGTCCTTATCGTCGTCTTTTACATCCATACAGATACTGATCTGGAGAATTTATTATTTAATGTAAGACACTTCTAGTAGAAAACATTTAACCATCATCTAATAATCTCATTGCAGCTTCATCCCTACGATGACCGTAACTGTGAATAGCAGTTAAGTTAATGTCTAGTAAATCAACAATAGGGTGTGAAATAAATGAGAAATAGAAAAGGAATTGAGCGTTACCTGATAGTGGAGAATAAGAGTCCAAATGAGACCCAATATGAGCTTCATATTGCCCTCGTAAATATCCTCGTTGCCTGAAAAAACAAACATTTTACACATCCATTACCAACTTGATTGCAGTATCCATAAAGTAAGGAGAGGGGAGGTCTTTATATCGATCGCTACTGACTGATTTATTAAATAGTGTCATTCTTTGATCTCTACAAAGTCTCCTTTTCTAGCTGTTAAAAGAATCCTCCAACACAGATTGACACACAGAGTGAAGAGTGGAAAGGCGCATAGGCTCTACGGCTAGCTAGCTATTCCAAAATTTTTTAAATTTAACGACTGTTATCAGTCGCATAGCGTCATGCCGTTATTGCTGGCGAATTGATGGCAGTGTAACTGAGATGGTATGCAGTGAAATTGATTCTGTGATGGCGTGCTTATGAGACAGAGATATTATTAGCATTGCGGTTGATGTTGCGCTCTGATTTCCTTAGTCCCGTTATATTGTGTAACATAAAGTTGGGCCATTCGTCTGCAATGCCCTCGTTTTGTTGATCAATGAGCATGTTTTTTGTGTACCTTTTGTAGATGTTAAGGTTGAATAGACTTGGCAAGGAAGTTGCTGCGACACTATATCTGTTTATTGCTAGTAGTGGACCTTTGTAGAATACTGAATTGTTGTAAGGGTATTTACCATATTCATCTGACCATGTAGTTGTAAGACTTGAATCCGGATTGGCGACGTTAAATATTGGTGCACTGTTAGGTATTGTTTTCTTTATAGAGGGAGGCACTAAACTTGGGAAGTTTTTCAGCTTATGTATAAAAACTAATGCGTTCTTTACGATGATACTATGAACTGTCAATATTTTGTGTACATAGAAACCAGACTTGGTACTTGCTGGTGGTGTACCATCTTTGTACCAGTAATTAACAAAACCTGGTAGTATTGCTCTAAGACCCATTTTTTGTTTTACAAATAGTGTTTCTATATGCGACACACAGAGTGGCACACAGAGTGACACACAGAGTAACACACAGAGTAACACACAGAGTAACAGAGTGACGCTAGTTAACATAATGGTGATAAACATTGCGTGGTGGCCGTGAAAAGGACTATTTTAAATCTAGACGGGTAGGAAAAAGACCCAGTCGACAAGCAAGACTTCTAAATATTTGAATACGGCGGCTTGTAGACCGGAAGACTGTGTTCCTTCATGACTACATAGCTCCAAGAACCATCCCACTAGCTTACAAGAGGTTTTACTGAAACTAGCAGATATTAACACTAAATAGGCTATTCATACTATCACGTGATGACACATATTCTACATTTCATCTCTCCACCCTCCACCCTCCACCCTCCACCCTCCACCCTCCACCCTCCACCCTCCACCCTCCACCCTCCACCCTCCACCCTCCACCCTCCACCCTCCACCCTCCACCCTCCACCCTCCACCCTCCACCCTCCACCCTCCACCCTCCACCCTCCACCCTCCACCCTCCACCCTCCACCCTCCACCCTCCACCCTCCACCCTCCACCCTCCACCCTCCACCCTCCACCCTCCACCCTCCACCCTCCACCCTCCACCCTCCACCCTCCACCCTCCACCCTCCACCCTCCACCCTCCACCCTCCACCCTCCACCCTCCACCCTCCACCCTCCACCCTCCACCCTCCACCCTCCACCCTCCACCCTCCACCCTCCACCCTCTCAATGTAAACATGATACTGAACCCCAGTAGTTGGAGTGAACTTGATTAAAGTACCAATAGCTTTAACAGTTTCACCTATAATAACAAAATATATATATACTGTATATAATCCCTGTTAACTGTTAGGTACTGTTAAATGTACATTTTAGATTGTATATTATACATTGTACATTGTACATTGTAGACACCGTAACCACACCAGATATAAGGTTACTTACACAACTTGTTACACAACTTGTTACACAACTTGTTACACAACTTGTTACACAACTTGTTACACAACTTGTTACACAACTTGTTACACCTGCTGAGAGGTTAACAATTAGCATGTACTCTTGTAAGAGGTTAACATGTACTCAATTGTTGGGGGTTCAATGTTGGATTACTGGTCCGGGTATACTGTATACGGTGTGTATTAGAATTACATCCAAATAAAACACCGATAATAATGTCCCAGGTTGTAGCTACTCTTTCACGCTCAAAAACATATTTATATAGAAATTTCTCACTTCATTGGTATGATATATGAATTATAAAGTGTGTTACATTCAATTACCATCTGAAATAACACTATTTACACTAGAACATTACAGTCACATACAAACATTTCAAAATTTATTACATGTGAATTGGGACCTTAGTACTGAAGCTGATAATAGTCTGAGCGCCTATTTGACAACAAATTAGTTTTAGAGTTACCTGACTCATGAGATTTTAGATGAAGATGGAATATTTGACAGGTGACATCACTTTTATATCATGTGATTATGATTTGTTTTCAACTGAATGACGTGAGATGAAACTAACACAACAATGAAACCAACTACAGTTTCTAGACATGTTGCCCGACAATTATCACGACAATAATCACGACAATAATCACGACACCTTTACCTTCATAGGACCTTCATTTAACATCACAGATATATCGTATACAAACATTAAGTATGATCTAGCTGATCTACGTTAGGAGCCTATGATGTGAGAAACACGTGACATTTAACGTGTAGTACTTTACACTACAGCTCTAGATTAGCTCTATATTAGGCTGCTGATTCTGGTGCTACAACGTAGGCTATTTATTTTCTCATCACAGTTAAAATGATATAATTTCATGAGAAATTATGACTCCAGCATATTCACATAATAACTCACATAATGATTGAATATTTAAATTCAATGGTACAGCTAATGATATCAGAAACTCAATCCGTCTTTGTATTGGAGGGAATATATTATTATTTACAGGTGACACTGAAATTATTATTAAATAAGGAACTTCAACGGTTTAAAATGGAGAATGAACTCTTCTTCAACAGATTTTCAGCTGTTTGAATTATATGATACAGTCCAGTGACCAGTAATATCGTCTTTATTCGTTGGACGTTTTAAACCCCAAAAGAGGAATAAACTGTTTATTTTTATCGAACAGCTGTCAACAATGATACTAAAATTACTGAAGACCCTGCCATTAGATACTTATAATGGACACTTTAAGATGTAAATAATATATTACGTTAAGATAATAAACAAATTTAATATGCTAATACAGTTAATATTCTGTAAAAATAAACGAAGTTAAACGTAAAAATATATGCGCTGAACGCAGTTAATATTATATAGCCTTAGCTTTTTGTATAACACAAACAAAAGATGCGATGTAGATATAGACTGTAAGGGAGCTTTTGAATATAAAATTTATGTAACACAAATGTCAAATATAATCAAGACTACAATTATGCAAAATGCTAATCTATAAATAGCTAATAAGACAAATTGATGCGCGAGGAGGTCTTAAATTCCGTAAAGTGCCTAGGAAATATGTTGACAGTAATAGATAAGTATTGTGATAACAATAGGTCTACATTTACTAAGTACTAATTAGTTATGAGATACAGTTTATATTTGGGGGAAGGGGACTGACTCATTTTCTACCCATCTTGGACGACAGAGAAATTATTATTGACAGTTTTCGCAATTTCCGATTTCGCTCTCTTGGTTGGACAAAACGTGAACGTTGTAGTTTCAACTGTGTGCAAACTCTCATTCGTCTACCTCATTAAAAAAAGAAACAACTTCTTAGTTCTTCGACATAGTTTGCATATTTGAACGTATTTTATGTGGTGTTAGGTTTGGTAAATGCATTAACCAAAGCATAATTAATAAAAGAGAGACCAAATCAATAATTATGAAACGGTAATCTTGCGCCAATTAGCTTCATTACTATTCTCAGTTTATTAAAACAATATTAGGCAGTAGGCTTAGTGTTTTAATTGTGGTTGATTGAGCTATGTTGAGTGAAGTAACTATGGTAACTATGTTAACTATGTTACACGATATATCATCACTTCAGATAGATAGTAAATATAGTAATTCTAACTTATTAATTAGTGCGATTATTTAATAACATAAATTACAGAAATCGAATGAATAATTAGATTTTATTTATTAATTTTAAAAATAAGATTTATGCAGAATTGTCAGTTTCTGAACCTCGAGTAATCGCTTTAGAGTAATAATAATACAATGAGTAATCAGAGTATTTCAGAGAATAAATAATAAATAATAATCATCAACGGTGTCAGAGCCAGATAGTATAAGTTTATTATCGACGTTCAGTGTACACAAAGATAAATGCGGTTGCATTTCTGAAGTCGTTAGCTATACATACCTAACATACCACTCAAATGAATCTGCTGGTATGTGATCAAACCTTATTGTGTATCATTTGAGATAACAAAGTTTCTGATATCATTAGCTGTACCATCACATACTGCTATAACACTGGTCTCATCCACTCCTACACCTCTAGAGATATCTGCTACAGACCCGACCTCAAAATAACCAAAACCCGACTTCCCAGTTACCAAAACCCGACTTCCCAGTTACCAAAACCCGAATTCACAGTTACCAAAACCCGACTTCACAGTTACCAAAACCCGACTTCACAGTTACCAAAACCCGACCAAAACCCGACTTCACAGTTACCAAAACCCGACTTCACAGTTACCAAAACCCGACCAAAACCCGACTTCACAGTTACCAAAACCCGACTTCACAGTTACCAAAACCTGACTTCACAGTTTCCAAAACCCGACTTCACAGTTACCAAAACCCGACTTCACAGTAACCAAAACCCGACTTCACAGTTACCAAAACCCGACTTCACAGTAACCAAAACCTGATTTCACAGTTACCAAAACCCGACTTCACAGTTACCAAAACTCGACTTCCAAGTTACCAAAACTTGACTTCACAGTTACCAAAACCCGAATTCACAGTTACCAAAACCCTACGTTAGGCTACTAACGTGTGACACTTTACCAAGATAATCCACTGGAAACCTTTACACCCCTCTTAATTATAACAC